CATACACAGCCACACATCCAACCACACACACATACAACCACACATACATACAGCCACACACGCATACAGCCACACATACAACCACACACACATACAGCCACACATACAGAGCCACACATACAACCACACACATATACAGCTACACATACAACCACACACACATAACCACACATACACAGACACACAGACACACACCCGTACAGTCACACATACATACATACAGCCACACATACACAGCCACATATACAACCACACACATTCGACCACACACACACGTACGACCACACACACAGCCACACACACATACAGCCACACACATACAGCCACACACGCATACAGCTACACATACAACCACACACACATAGCCACACATACACAGCCACAAATCCAACCAGACACACATAGCCACACATACACAGACACAAATCCAACCAGACACACACAGCCACACATACAGCCACACATACAGCCACACATACAACCACACATACATACAGCCACACACGCATACAGCCACACATACACAGCCACACACGCATACAGCCACACACATACAGCAACACACGCATCGACTCACACACACATACAGCCACACACACATACAGCCACACACGTACGACCACACACACAGCCACACACACATACAACACACACATACAGCCACACACGTACGACCACACACACAGCCACACACACATACAACACAGACATACAGCCACACACGTACGACCACACACACAGCCACACACACATACAACACACATTCACGAACCCGTGCACACGTGACCCTGACCCAGCTGCATGCCCACCGTGGAAGCCAGCACCCCCCCCCCCCCCCTTGCGAGACGCTGGGCTCAGATTCCTTTGCCTGATCACCACTCCTCACCACTCCCTCCACTCAGCCGCTTGTTTTGGGAATTGTGTCTGGCCATCACTTGTTATTATTCTCGGAAATTCTCCCCACCACTGCGGGTGGGGTGCGTGACACCTCAGCCCGTGAATGTCTGCGCGACAGAAGGCTGCGGTGAGCTGCCCGTTTAGCTTGGTTGGGGGGGGGGTATAACAATGGGTTTTTAGGCATTTCTGGCGACAGGTGTTAAGATGTTCGAACACGAAATTAGACACCTTTCGCGAGGCGTCGAGTCTGCATTATAACCACACGGACTTGTGGCAAATTCATGCAAACATGCTCTGATGATGATAATCATGTATGCATTGTCCTTTGAACCTGACTGGCCGATATCAGAGATTCAGGCTGTTTTGCTGTAAGTATGTGTGCGGTTAATGCAGACTTGTCCGCCTTCTAAAAAGGTAGAAATTTTGGTGTTCAAACATCTTAACACAGCTCCCGTTTAATTGCTAAAAAGTGTAAGAAAGTATTTTTTTATTTTGCATAATTTTATTTTATACGTGCAAACAAAAATAGGCTCCTATAAGCAAGGCTGTAGCCATGGAGTCAACATTGGGGGGACCAAATCTTCCAGGGTGTCTGGGGATCCCAACCCAGAAAATATCTAAATTTGAAAACTCATTTCCTGCCTAAAATATATATATAAAAAAAATGCACTAACACATGGGATGGAATTTTTCTTTATTGTTTTACAATAATGTCTAATAGTGTCTTGTATTACATTGCTCTGTTTTTACCTTTTTTTACCATTTCTTGTTTCATTGTATGTAATGGCAGAGATTGGGGATTAATAAAGTACAACCATAACCACAAGCGTATAAACAGAAATCTATGCATTGATTTATATGAAGACAAGTTCATATATTGTGGCCAAGGTTTAGCAAATAGTTGTTTTTATTTACGTAGCATAGCAAAAAATTTTTATAGCAATATATTGGGGGGACATTTGGAGCATATTTTAATATTGGGGGGGATATGTTCCACCCAATATATTATAATTACGGCCTTGTCCTATAGATATGCCCGCACATTTGTTGTACGGACATTGCCCGTGCGGGCAGTCACATCGCTTCTGTTGTAATAAGAGCCCGGCGTTCCGTTTATCCGTCAACTAAAGTGTAAGCGCATTTCAGAAGGCCTGAATAAAAAAAGTTACACAAAGTGGACACAGTCTACATACAATAGTCAGTAGTATCTACTACACACCCTACATACAATAGTCAGTAGTATCTACTACACACCCTACATACAATAGTCAGTAGTGTCTACTACACACCCTACATATAATAGAGTCAGTAGTATCTACTACACACCCTACATACAATAGTCAGTAGTATCTACTACACACCCTACATACAATAGTCAGTAGTATCTACTACACAGTCTACATACAATAGTCAGTAGTGTCTACTACACACCCTACATACAATAGAGTCAGTAGTGTCTACTACACACCCTACATACAATAGTCAGTAGTGTCTACTACACACCCTACATACAATAGTCAGTAGTATCTACTACACACCCTACATACAATAGTCAGTAGTGTCTACTACACACCCTACATACAATAGAGTCAGTAGTGTCTACTACACACCCTACATACAATAGTCAGTAGTATCTACTACACACCCTACATACAATAGTCAGTAGTGTCTACTACACACCCTACATACAATAGTCAGTAGTATCTACTACACAGTCTACATACAATAGTCAGTAGTATCTACTACACACCCTACATACAATAGTCAGTAGTATCTACTACACACCCTACATACAATAGAGTCAGTAGTATCTACTACACACCCTACATACAATAGTCAGTAGTATCTACTACACACCCTACATACAATAGAGTCAGTAGTATCTACTACACAGTCTACATACAATAGTCAGTAGTATCTACTACACACCCTACATACAAGTCAGTAGTATCTACTACACACCCTACATACAATAGTCAGTAATATCTACTACACACCCTACATACAATAGTCAGTAGTATCTACTACACAGTCTACATACAATAGTCAGTAGTATCTACTACACACCCTACATACAATAGAGTCAGTAGTGCCTACTACACACCCTACATACAATAGTCAGTAGTATCTACTACACACCCTACATACAATAGAGTTAGTAGTGTCTACTACACACCCTACATACAATAGTCAGTAGTATCTACTACACACCCTACATACAATAGAGTTAGTAGTGTCTACTACACACCCTACATACAATAGTCAGTAGTGTCTACTACACACCCTACATACAATAGAGTTAGTAGTGTCTACTACACACCCTACATACAATAGTCAGTAGTATCTACTACACACCCTACATACAATAGTCAGTAGTATCTACTACACACCCTACATACAATAGTCAGTAGTATCTACTACACAGTCTACATACAATAGTCAGTAGTATCTACTACACACCCTACATACAATAGTCAGTAGTATCTACTACACACCCTACATACAATAGTCAGTAGTATCTACTACACACCCTACATACAATAGTCAGTAGTGTCTACTACACACCCTACATACAATAGTCAGTAGTGTCTACTACACACCCTACATACAATAGAGTCAGTAGTGTCTACTACACACCCTACATACAATAGTCAGTAGTATCTACTACACACCCTACATACAATAGTCAGTAGTATCTACTACACACCCTACATACAATAGTCAGTAGTACCTACAACACACCCTACATACAATAGAGTCAGTAGTGTCTACTACACACCCTACATACAATAGTCAGTAGTATCTACTACACACCCTACATACAATAGAGTCAGTAGTGTCTACTACACACCCTACATACAATAGAGTCAGTAGTGTCTACTACACACCCTACATACAATAGAGTCAGTAGTGTCTACTACACACCCTACATACAATAGAGTCAGTAGTGTCTACTACACACCCTACATACAATAGTCAGTAGTGTCTACTACACACCCTACATACAATAGTCAGTAGTATCTACTACACACCCTACATACAATAGTCAGTAGTGTCTACTACACACCCTACATACAATAGTCAGTAGTGTCTACTACACACCCTACATACAATAGAGTCAGTAGTGTCTACTACACACCCTAAATACAATAGAGTCAGTAGTGTCTACTACACACCCTAAATACAATAGAGTCAGTAGTGTCTACTACACACCCTACATACAATAGTCAGTAGTATCTACTACACACCCTACATACAATAGAGTCAGTAGTATCTACTGCACCCCCTACATACAATAGTCAGTAGTATCTACTACACACCCTACATACAATACAGTTAGTATTATCTACTACACAACCTACATACAATAGTCAGTAGTATCTACTACACACCCTACATACAATAGAGTCAGTAGTATCTACTACACACCCTACATACAATAGAGTCAGTAGTATCTACTACACACCCTACATACAATAGTCAGTAGTGTCTACTACACACCCTACATACAATAGAGTTAGTAGTATCTACTACACACCCTACATACAATAGAGTTAGTAGTATCTACTACACACCCTACATACAATAGAGCCAGTAGTGTCTACTACACACCCTACATACAATAGAGTCAGTAGTATCTACTACACACCCTACATACAATAGTCAGTAGTGTCTAATACACACCCTACATACAATAGTCAGTAGTGTCTACTACACACCCTACATACAATAGAGTCAGTAGTATCTACTACACACCCTACATACAATAGTCAGCAGTGTCTACTACACACCCTACATACAATAGTCAGCAGTGTCTACTACACACCCTACATACAATAGTCAGTAGTGTCTACTACACACCCTACATACAATAGAGTCAGTAGTATCTACTACACACCCTACATACAATAGTCAGCAGTGTCTACTACACACCCTACATACAATAGTCAGTAGTGTCTACTACACAACCGATAGTCATAGCCCACACGCCGTGGTTATTCTAGTATCTCAAAAACGCGGCACTTGATCCGCCTGGGCCCCCTAAGGTCGGTCGCCGCAGTTGCAAACGCCGGGCGCCTGCTTTGTGTGGCACCTGCGAGCAGGCCCGAGGCCCCGGTGTTCGGCTGCGGAGGGGAGCTGAGTGGCGAGAGCGGCTACCTGGGCAGCGAGGGCTACCCGGGTCTCTACCCGCCTAACCGCGACTGCCTGTGGAGGATCACGGTGAGCGTGTCCCGGGCGCCGTGCCGCATGCCACGTGGCCCGTGGCCACGTGCCCACGTGCCACGTGGCCACGTGCCACGCGGCCACGTGCCACGCGGCCACGCGGCCACGTGCACGCGGCACGTGGCCACGTGCGTCTTGGCAGTTCTACATTCGTGAAGGAGAGATGCGCTCATTGACCCCGTGTGAGCTTATCCGTGTTGATGTTAGTTCGCACCGTCCGTACCCAAACTTGCTCAACAGAGGTACGGGGGGGGGAGGTGGACAACAAACTAAACATAAACAAGCAGTTCTAAATAAATTAGTTTTAAATGCAGATTTTTAAAGTTTGCATGGCTCCAGTGGCTTCCTAACGTCGGGAGGAAGAGCGTTCCAGACGGCCCGCAGAAACGCATCTAAAAACGTGCCGTGAGGTGACCGTCTTTGTAAGCAGTAACCGTCGAGTTCTAAAGAAATGAGTTTGTCAATCAAGATGATGAATTAAAAGTTTGCATGGCTCCAGTGGCTTCCTAACGTCGGGAGGAAGAGCGTTCCAGACGGCCACAGAAACGCATCTAAAAACGTGCCGTGAGGTGACCGTCTTTGTAAGCAGTAACCGTCGAGTTCTAAAGAAATGAGTTTGTCAATCAAGATGATGAATTAAAAGTTTGCATGGCTCCAGTGTCTTCCTAACGTCGGGAGGAAGAGCGTTCCAGACGCCCCGCAGGAGCGCGGCCACCGCCGCCTTTGCAAGCCGTCACCGCCGAGTTCCTTAAGAAGCGAGTTTTTTTTCCTCCTTGTTCCCCATTGAAAAAGCGATTGATTCCACGCCCCGTGGTTGTGCCTCGTCCCTGGCCAAGGCAGGTGCCTCCCGGCCACCGGGTGCTGCTCTCCCTGCAGCACCTGGACCTGGAGAAGGCGCCGCTGTGCCGCTACGACGCCCTCACGCTGCACGACGGCGGCACGGCGGCGGCGCCGCGGCTGGCGCGCTACTGCGGCGCGGCGCCGCCCGGCAGCGTGCACTCGACGGGGCCCGCGCTGCTGCTGCGAATGCGCACGGACGGCGAGAACGCCGGCACCGGATTCCTCGCCAGCTTCACGGCCGAAAGGCCCGCGCAGCCCGGCAAGTCGCGCCGGGCCTCGCAGTGGCTCACCGCGTCTCGCCGTGTCTCACCGTGTCTCAGTGTCTCGCCGTGTCTCGCCGTGTCTCACCGTGTCTCGCTGTGTCTCACCGTGTCTCAGTGTCTCGCCGTATCTCGCCGTGTCTCACCGTGTCTCGCTATGTCTCACCGTGTCTCAGTGTCTCGCCATGTCTCGCCGTGTCTCACCGTGTCTCACTGCACCTCACCGTGTCTCACCGCACATCACCATGCCTCACGTCTCACCGTGTATCACCGTGTCTCACACCTCACCGCACCTCACCACGCCTCACCGCACCTCACCACGCCTCACCGCACCTCATCACGCCTCACCGCACCTCACCAAGCCTCACCGTGTCTCACCTCACCGCGACGTTGCCGGTGGAGGGGGGGGTTTCTTTCGGAATCAGAATCAGAATGTTGTTTTTATACTGGAGGAATCCGATGAGCTTTCAAGATCTTTTTCCACGGATGTCCAGTACGGGGCAGGTCAGAAAGTTACAACAACAAACAATACAGAAACACGACACGAGTGCAAAGTATAGACAAGGTAAACAAATCACTTTAAATATACATACAAATAAACAAATTATTGTTTTATCTGGTGAGACCCACTGAGAAATCTAGAAACCTCCCATGGGGGAGGTTAAATACAATCGAGTAATCATTCGTTTTAAAACATATACTTTTTGAAAACTCATCTCTTGCGAACTGCTTACTGCGTTTCCGTGTTGGTGTCCTTTCCCCGCACTTCCGATTAGCACCGGTGGGCTACGTAGGGGGAGCGAAGGAATGTCAACACATACGTACAAATAGGGCTCTACATCAATCACAAACAACCTTCATTGAATTGTGGGTCTCAAGGGGGAGGGGGGCAGGGGCGATTGCCTTCCCTCCCACCACCCCACCCCCCAGATAATAGCGAAAGGTGATCGCGAAGGCAGGCGCTACGTTTCACGAACGTGGTCTGTGCAATCTCAACTGAGCAATTTTCCAGGCGAATTTTAAACTTTTGGCAAAACTTGGGACCGTGGTACCGGCACGCAACGACGTCACAGTATCTCTTTTTTTTTGCGTCTACCGCGAAACAGAAGGTGCGTATTTCACGCGCTCATAACCAGGGCGGCCTGCTGGATTCGAACCGCGAACCTCCGCAACGGGGGTGGGGAGGGGGGGCGGAGCGAGTCAGAAGCCATCGCAGGGAACGTGAGGCTCGCGAGTCTCCACCCCCCCCCCCCCCCCCCCACGTGTGATCCCCGCTGGATGCCACTGAGTGTCGCTGTGCGGGGCTCCACCCCCCCCCACGTGTGACCCCCGCTGGGCTCCACCCCCCCCCACGTGTGACCCCCTGCAGGCGGGAGCGTGTGCGGCGGGCGCCTGCGGGGTCCCAGCGGGAGCTTCTACTCTCCAAACTGGCCACACTCGGACTACCCCACGGGCATCACCTGCTCCTGGCACATCTCGGGCCCGCCCGGCAAGGTGCGCGGGGGCCCTCCCTAGGCACAGACGGCTTTCCCGGTGACCTCTCCTGCCGTCCACCCACCACCGCCCACCACCGCCGCCGTCACCCGGCATGGCCGATTAAGTCGGGTTTGTCACGTGGACAAAAAACGTGACAAATTGGCGATTACTACGCCACCATCGGTGCGATGGCGAGTAAGCCCACGTTTTGCCAGAATTGCGAAGAAGTCTTCCCGCTTCCCGTCATAAATAGCAAGATGATGTCGTCACTATGAGCCTACCGGGTGTGCAGATCAGAGGGTGGGGTTTATTGTAATTGTATCCATCTAAATGGAGTATATTAACCTGAAAATATGCGTTCCATATTTCCAGATGGGTTCATCACAGTTCATCACCGTGAGCCTATCAGGTGCGAAGGTCAGAGGTGGGGGAGGAGGGGGGGTTGTAATCACAACGCATTTGTAGTTACGCGATCCCACCCACAAAAACCTTTATCACGAATAATATTCATCGCGAAAGGCTGCGTGTTCAATTCACCCCTCCCGCTAGTGGAGACAGCGAGCAGTGAGACTTTGTCTGTGGACCGGTGGTCCCAAGCCTCCTGACGCTAAGTATATTCAACTTCTTTCGCTCCGGGTCCCACACCAGAATCCTCGCGTGGCCCCAGAGCGTCGAGACGCACGCGGCGTGGGCCACGCGGCCGCTTCGGTCGCGTCGGATGTTCCGCGTGGCGTTGAGTTTAGAAATCTGCGGCAGTCCCCCCTCTACCCCCCATTGTAGGGCGGAGAGCCCCGGGTGCCTTCGTACGTTCCCTCATGTTGAGGGTGCGTTACGCCTGGCCTGTTACACGTCACGTGATATTCCTCCCTCCCCTGCTGCTGTGTATTTGGAGTTTGCGGTGTCTCTCTCACTCTCCGTGGTCACGTGGATTGTTGCTCCGGGTCCTCGGTTTTTTCCCCCTCTACATTTAGAATCAACATCGCCACGCGTTCAGAGTATTTGGCTGCTATACATTTCCACGCGATGATGATAAGCCACTTCGTTGAGCTATCATTTGTGATAGCCAGATCGCTTCCGAAACAGAGCTATATAGCTCAGTGGGGCCTTATCGAGCACAATAAAAAAAAAAATAGTTTCGTTTAAGTTTGATATCTCCATTCGCTTCTGGGTTCTCGAAATATTACAAAAATCCGCTTGCACACACAAAAAATAAATCCGCGTCCCGGGCAGAGTAGCCGGTGTTGTTCCTGTTGATGAAACCCGCTTTAAGTAAGAGCTTCTGAGCTCACGGGGTAATGGAAACTAAACTGAACAAGTCTGGGTTGACCCCCACCTCGCCCCTCACGGCATGCCCCCCCCCCCCCCCCCCGCAGGTGGTGTCGCTGCGCTTCGTCAAGTTCGACGTGGAGCGCGACCCCACGTGCCGCAGGGACCACGTGTCGGTGTTCGACGGCCGCGAGCTGGACGAGGGCCGACGCCTGGGCCGGCTGTGCGGTGACGAGCCGCCCGAGTGAGTCTCCCCACCCCCACCCCCCCCCCACCCCCCCCACCCTGCGGGTAGCCAACTCTTGACTGAAGCTACTTTTCGGAAGATTTAAATATTCAAATGTTTTTTATTGTTATTAAAATATCGTAATTCAAATAGTCGCCGGGAGATCGATGCCAATTCCCGGAGAGACTCGCAGCCAATCCGGGAAGGCTGGCGACCCTATAGAGGGACTCCTCGACTTAAGAACGAGTTAGGTTCCAGAGGTCTGTGCGTAAGTCGATTTGTTCGTAAGTCCAACTTTACTCCTGTCGATTCCAAACGTGTTGTACGGCATGTACACTCAACACGGGGGAATGGTTTCAAAAGTTGTATAATCTCCTGTAGATATAGATGCCACCGGTTATTCACGTTCTGCAGATGTAGATGCCACCACCGCCCCATCTATTGCGTGGCGGTCGTACTTACGACTCTCGGTCCGAACAGGCAACTGGACATACGGATCAGGTTTGTTCGTATCTCTGAAAGTTCGTGAGTCGAATGTCCGTAAGTAGAGGAGTCCCTGTAATGTGACACGGCATCATTCAGTGATTTCTTACCTTAGAATTTTCCCCAATGCAGTGGTGGTGATTTTGAGAGGCTCTTCTCTTGCCGCGTAGGCCGCTGCTGTCGTCGGGCAGCGAGCTATTCGTGCAGTTCGTGTCGGACCACGGCACCACGGCCGACGGCTTCGAGGCCTTCTACTCCTTCCAGGCCCGAGCCACAAACTCGACCGGCAAAACCACGATCGCCATTACCACGACAGCCAAAACCACGACCGCCAAAACCACCACGTCTAGAACTACCGCCACCGCCAGGATTACAACTGCCGCCAGCAGTCCGCCTACAACAACCTCCACCGTGACCGCCCCAACAGCAACAACGAGACGGAACAGAGGTATGAGGGGAGCACCAGCTCGCACGTGGCCGCAGATGTGGCGTGCGTTTCCGCAGGAGTGGCTCAAGGGAGTCTCGAGAGCGTCTGCCCAGGAGGGTTCCGCATCGGCACGTTTGGCCAACTCCGTGGGGAGGCATGTGGCAGAAATCCGGTTAACCCCGGAGACAACGCACACACATCGGAGGGGGTTGACACTCAGCACTTCCACGCAGTCCCATGCCTGCGAACAAAGCCCATCCAAGCACCGGTCAGGCTCGCGCCTGCTGAGCTTCAGAGTATGCGATGACATTAGGCACATTGAGGGCGATACGTTCCGTCGATATGATCGGCCCAGAATGGCGAGATCGATCATTAGGTGAGGGCACATCAGGTCTTGGCAGCTTGCAGGCAGTGCATGCGTCACATAGGCACTCTTATGGGTGCAGATTAACCTCCGATTAGCACGGTTGGCTATTTACGGTGCAATAGAAGTTCAAGGTAAATACATACATATAAGAGGGAACAGTTAATGGCCATACCGAGCATGCACCTGTGGTTTGTGTGACTGAAACGTCTGTGGTTAATTGTGTGTATGTGTGGTTCCCCCAACTTTCAGTTTCTTCAGTAAATCCGCGATCTTCCCCCTGCCGGAAAAAGTGTTTGCGCCGCGGGACACTTGAGAGCAACTACTGCGCTAACGATTTCGGTAAAGTATTTGCCATTATTACCATCGCCCACTGCAGTATTCAATCCGTGCAGTGTTCACTTTGCGTCGTATTCACTCTGAGAATTAGCATCGATCTTTATAACCCTATGGCCATGGTACCTCAACATTCAAACTAAAACTATGTCACTATTTTATATAGTTCAGAAGCAACCGGACCACAGATGATAGTTCAAACAAGTGGCGTATCATCACGTGGAAATGCAAAGCAGCCAATTACTCTAAATGCGTGATGTTGATTCTAAATGCGGAGGGAAAAACCGAAGGACCCAGAGAAAAATCCACGCGACCACGGGGAGAGAGAGACACGCAAACTTCACATATACAGCAGCAGGCGTCAGGGTCGGGATCGAACCCACGACTCCCTACATACCAGGCGAGGTAGTTAACATCTCCTAGCCACCGCGGTGCCCCTCACACGCCCCCAGTCACCCCTTACCCCACGCAAACGTCCGGCAACTTTCCCGCAGACGCACAGAGTGCCCTCCGGGGCAATCCGAATTTCAAAACTGGCAGGGAAAATTGACCGGTGGGGACGAGGCCAGAAATCAGCAGCTCGCAGGAAGGGCCCCAAGCTGGAGGAAGACCGCGGTGGTGGAGTGACGGCGTCCGTCGGTCCGTGCGTGCGTGCGTGCTCGCAGTGCTCGTGGGCAGGGTGGTGAACCTGCGGCGCAAGGCCAAGGGCTCCGTGCTCGTCGTCGCCGTGCTCCGGGCGCTGCGGTCCGGGCGGCTGCAACTGGCGCGGGCCGCGGAGCGCACAACCGCCAAGCTGCGCGTCGCCTGCCACACGTGCCCGCCCGTGCGCCAGGGTAGGTGTCCCGCCCCCTCTCTTCACGCCCACGCGCTCCCACCGCCCCCGTAACCGCAAGCACGTTACGATAATTCCGTCTGCTGGATGGGACGTCGTTTGTGAGTGAATAACCATCCCTCATCGTGACTGCCCCGAACGAACATTGGCCGAGATGCGTGAACAGCTTCTGACCGCCATTGCGTCGCAGGAGAGGCACCGTCCGCATTAATTGGATTGCACGAGAACAGTGAATAACATAACGAATAATAATGATGATAATACCATTATTTACCCATGAAACCCTCACCGAGGCTTGAGATTCTATCCAAGAGGAGCCTGCACTGGGATGTTTGGCCGGTGCCGTTAATGAGTGTTTGGCTTTAAGAAATATGGAGCCCTTGGCAAAAAAAACCCGACATCCGCGACGCTCGGCACTGCCAGATCCTGTCCACGCCACGCAGCTGCGACAACACCTGGCAGGCCCTGGTGGTCGCACAACTCAAGCACGAACCGGCGTCGACCACGCTTAGCCCCCGTGAGGGGCCTGGGCGCGGGCAGGGCGACACAGCTCGTTGGCGCTCCGCGTCCGAGAAGGGGCACGGCCGCGACCCCCCCCGAAACGCAGCGCCGTCACTCAGCCGCTGCCACCGCCGCTGCGCCCCCCCTCCCCCAGGGATGAGCTACGTCTTCATGGGCACGGTGGGGCCGGACCGCGTCGGCACTCTCTCCCCGTACGGCCTCGCGCTGCCCTACTCCGCCAAGCTGCAGCGCACGCTCGCGCGCCTCCACGCCAGGAGGAAATGCTGAGGGCGTCGGCCTGCGAGGGCGTCGACGCCTCACCGCGCCTGCCCTCGCGCACCTTCACCCCCCCCCCCCCCCCCGTGGCGGCGGGGGAGGGGGGCTCGCGTCGGGCCGTGGCGGCCACGGCGCTGTGACGAGTGGAAATCTCAAGCCGACGTTGGGGACATCTCAAGCCGCTGCCGGTTCAAGCAGCATTCCCCCCGCCCCACCTCACAGCGTGCGCTTGCTTGCGCGCGGCCCACAATTCATTGCAGCGGCAGATTCAAGGGGGCAAGGTGATGGGGGGCAGCTCCCGCCCCCCCCCCCCGCCCATCTCTCCTCCCTTTCCCCTCCACCTCTTGATACTCAGAAACTTGATGTTGCGTTCAATCAATCTGTTTATATAAGGTGGCAATTTCGCCCCTCAATAAAGTAGGCATCAGAGTGCACATCACAGCGGAACGGGAACGGTAACAGGGGGCACGGAGCAGCAACAGGAATGATAAAAGAGACCCATCACGCCATCGGCGGCTAAGGCCACCGGTAAATTGCAACCGTGCGAAACGAATAACATATGAAAGTTAAGTAGTGAACTTTTAGATGTTATGGGAAGGCGGGTCTGAGTCGGTGCGCCTCGCACAGACCACGGAGTGGAGAGACACTCGGAGTGGAGAGACACTCGGAGCGTTTCGGCTGTCCGGTGGCAGGCAGCGTGAGGGAGTTGGGCCTCCGCTCAAGAAGGCCTTCGTGACCCCAGCTTTTGAATCAGACCGACCACCCGAAATTAAGCAGAGTTCTCACAGATGTTACCATTTGCCTTTAGAAGCTAACCCCCCTTTTTCTGATGACGACCGCTTGTGTTGCCATCAAAACGTCGTAGTTTTTTGTTATTTTCTTTGAACCTATCTACGTGACTTTACCGATTGACCCAAAGATGATTAATTCCTGCAGTCACGAAAGCTTTAAGTCAACATTCTTATAAAAATAGAAAATCTTCATTGTCCGGGAAAAACCTGACTGGGGTCTCACTACTTTAATCAGGAAGGGACCATTTCGAGATGGTTGACTAATTCCTGTTAAATTTTGATTTAAAGCATTCGTGACTGCAGGGATTCATATTCTTGGTTCTTTCGGTAAAGTCACGTAGAAGGGAAACAATAAAATAATAAAAATATAAAACAATAAAATTCTCACGACGTTTCGACTGCAACACAAGCAATCATCATCAGGTGTGAAAACCACAGCAAGAAAATTTGAAAAAAGTGGCGTTTTTTTAACGTTAGCACCACGGAGAGAGCGATTTGGCAGTTATTCAGATGGACGAGTCCATCTATGTTCGGAAAAGAGGAGGGGGGAGACGAAAATAATGGATGCGGTCTGAAAGCCACCGTAAGCGTGAACAATCAAATCCTTCCAATGAATAACTGCCAAATCGCTCTCCCTGGTGCTAACGTTAAAAACCACCGCCACTTTTTTCAAATTTTCTTGCTGTGGTTTTCACACCTGATGATGATTGCTTGCGTTGCAGTCGAAACGTCGTGAGAATTTTATTGTTTTATATTTTTAGTATTTTATTGTTTCCCTTCTACGTGACTTTACCGAAAGAACCAAGAATATAATTCCTATTCTTAGTTTTTTCGGTAAAGTCACGTTGAAGAGTTATGGTCGAAACGTCGTGAGAATTTTTATTGTTTTATATATATTTTGTTATTTTGTTGTTTCTCTTCAACGTGACTTTACCGAAAAAACTAAGAATATGAATTACTGCAGTCACGAAAGCTTTAAATCAAAATATAATTCCTGTTAGCGGAGCGTTCAGCATGCGAGAGAGGAAAGCGGAGTACCCACAGTAAACCCCAACGAGGAGCGATGACTCTCAAAAGCCCGGCCAACACGGACGCCGAAGAACCCCACTTCCCGTGCTGCCATTTCCTGGGCCAGCCGGCGTGGGAGCGGCGCATGCCGGGGCCTCGGCCTCGGCCTCCTCCTCTGGTGGAGCCCTTGCTGACGGCCGCGGCTGCAGCAGGAGAGTTGCGCTTAAAATGCACGGTGGGGCGTGGGGGGGGGGGACAGCGTTCCCTCCCACGCGACCGGAGGGGCGCGTTCGAGCCAATTCCGACCGCGGGGGAAAGCGCGTTGAGGCTTCGCAGGTATCCGTGGCTGGGCGCCGATGACTGTGGACGCTCGTGGGGAGACAAAGGCGGCCGGGCGTCGTGCTGGCCACCCACCCCCCTCGTGCGCCGTGCCGGCCTTCGTAGGGGCTCGCTCACAGCACTTGCCTACACGGGGGGGTTCTTTGTGTAATACTCCAGTGGCATTGCTAGTGTGCCCATAAACGTCTCGCTGTGTGTTTTTTGGGTTTTTTTTGCAAAGGGGGACCCCCCCCCTGACGGCATCTGTCCCTGTGTGTCGCAAGGTACACGCAGAGCCGGCCTGCAAAGTGGGAACTATTCTGCCAGTAGGGGCCAATGTTGCGATCGGTTATCCAACTCGGTAATATGTCGCTCGTTTTTTTTTTCATCTACAAATTTGCACAGCGTAATAGGATACCAGTGGTGGTTTACCAGACGTGGTATAGACAATGTTATTGTTATCATACTCATGTAAATCACCACGCTGTCTGGGAAGCGATAAAACGAGCGGTTGAAGGTGAGTCTGTACAGCACAATGCCACGTTGGGTATTTTCACGGAGCGTTGCACTCCGCTGTCGATACGGCAGAGTAGCGCCGACTGCCTCGTGTTGAAAACGCTCAAGAAGTACCCAAAGCCGCGGCTCACATTGCCACCATCGACAAAGGTTTATCTGTAAATGGCGCACTTCACTTTACCGACGTTTTTATTTTTAAACTCGGTTGTTGCACTGTATAAGATGAAATGAAAATAAAAAATTTAAACTGAAAAAAAAAACACGTTTTATTTTGCCGTCTTTAGGTGTCATTTGTCGAACAAATCGGAACAACGCGAACGTCCAGGATACACCGCAAATCCGAGACCCAAAACATCGCACCTCCTGGCTCTCACGGTGGTGGAACCATCAACCGCATCATCAGAACATCACTGCCAGGCCGATGCGCACCACATCTCATTCAAGAGTGGAAAATCCAAGGCACGAGCCACAGTCGTGTAGCAACCCAAACTATAGACCGTCTAGTAAACCCATGGTGACACACCGACTAAAACTAAACTTTATCTTTGACCAGGTAAAGCCCACTGAGCCTATAGGGCTCTCTTTCAGAAGCGACCAGGCCACAAATGATAGCTGCTCAACAAAGGGGCTTGCCACCATCATGTGGAAATGTATAGCGGCGGCCAAAATCATCTACACGCATAGAGATGCTTAGAGACCCATAAAGATACATAGAGACTCATAGCGACATAGAGTCATAGAGACTTATAGAGACCCATCGAGACATAGAGACCCAAATATATACATCGAGATACACCGAGATAATAGAGAATCAGAGACCCATAGAGATACATATAAGACAAGCCACAGTAGTGCGATTGTGGCCAAGCAAACCCCAAATTATGCACCAAATATTTAAACCACTGTAGTTCTGTGCTTCGACGAACAAGTAGGAAGAGCAAAACCGAGACGAACTCTCTATCTCTCTCCTGAAGCCGTCTCGTGGTGGCCAGCAGCAAGCCCTCAACACCGGCACCATTAGCTCCCGAAGAACGTGTTGCGACACGTACACGAAGAACAGCAGATAATTTGTCATGAGGCAAAAGATGTCAATTGTTCTCCACAAACGAAACGTGCCGATTAGTTACTAGTTCAGCACTCACCGGTTGTGTGTTGGAGGGTAAACCCCACTACAACATTTACAATTCGAGTACCGTCACGTTTCGCAAGGTAATTACAACAACAACCACCAGCATCATCAGGCGACAGCCAGAGTAGTGGATAAATCCTCTTCCTGGTTCGGTCTTGAATAGAGGTGGGGATAAGTGTGATGTCAACACTGTGAGCCAAGCAGATGCGAAGACCAGGGACGGGGTGGGGGCGGGTTAATCTAGTCATATCAATTACAATGGGTCGCTATCATTAGTTGGGTTTTCAGAGTCAATCAACGTACACAATGGAAGTTATTCTGCAGGTGGTTATCGGTGAGTCAAGCGCCGCGTGCCAACCCACGGGACTGACAAACACCGTGCTCCCAGCGACATTCAGACTCTGGGTGGCAGACGAAGAGACTCCGACACCGTCGTTTTTTTTTTTCTTTCTGTAACCCTCAAGTTTTATTTCGAAAATGGTATTGATTAACGCTGATGATCATGACATAAAATGCACAAAGCACAGTATGGGCACAACACAGGGCATTGACAATGTATCGTATGTATCGTACTGAGATGTGCCACCACGAATCATATAAATACATTTGAGGACAGTGATAAAGTAGCCGTCAACATGGATTCACTCGGAGAGGAGTCCAAGAGGGGGCTTCGCGCGGGTCACCTGCACGCTTTGGTCACTCGCGCTGCGCCGGAAATCATCGACGGCCACGCGGAATCATCGACGGCCACGCCGAATCATTGACGGCCATGCGGGATCATCGACGGCCACGCCGAATCATTAACAGCAATTTAGAATAATCGACAATCGGTCACGCGGAATCATCGACGACCACGCAGAATTATTGACCGCCATGCGGAGTCATCGACTGCCACGCTGAATCATCGACGGTCATGCAGAATCGTCGATAGTCAGCCACGCGGAATTATTGACGGCCAAGCGGAATCATCGACGGTCAAGCGGAATCATCGACGGCCACACGGAATCATCGACAGCCACACGTCGACGGCCACGAGTAGAGCGACAGACCGGGCGCGCCGCTAGTTGAGTACAAGCTCTCAATCAACAAGCGCTGGAGATTCACCGGAGCATAGAATGAGCCGGTGACAATGAAACCTCGATGTCTCTTCTCTTCAGGGAACACCGATCCAAATCCAACGTGAGGTGTGAGAAAACGTTCAACCAGGGAACCAGCGTAATCGTGTGAATGTGGATTTTTTTTATTTTTACGGGACTTTTTGTTTACGGGACAATTGGACGACTGTGGCTCGCGTCTTTAATTTCCCATTCATGACGGAGATGTGGTGCGCATCGGCCCGGTGATGATGTTCTGATGGTGCAGTTGATGGTTGCACCACCGGCGTCACCGAGGAGGAGACGGAACCGTCAAAAGTCAGGAGGCGCGGTGCATTGGATCTCGGAATTCGGGGATTATTCCGGACGTTCACGTTGTTCCGCTTTCTTCGACAAACGATAGCGTGAAATACATTGTTCTAGTTACTTGAGCTAATTCAGTTGACGAGCGAGGGTGCGAGCGGCGGTAGCCTAGTTGCGGGTGTGGTAGGTGGCATACTTGGCAGTGCGGAAGCCCAGCAGGTCGCGCATCTCATTGCGGAACTTGCCCAGGTCCTGGCGCAGCTCGCTCAGGCTCTCGACCGTGGCCTGCTCCGACGTGTGCCGCCGTCGCCGCGCCGCCATGAGGTAGCGGTGGACCAGGCAGCACATCACCTTCTGGTAGCTGGCGGCGCGGCGCGCACGCACGCTGCGCCACTCCTGCGGCGGGGGGGCGACAAAATGGCCACCGCGTGAACGCCGCCCGTCAGTCCGCCTTTCGCGCTCGTGAGCCGATGTCGCCGCGAATTTCTACGTGGAATGAACCACAACGCCTCGCCGAGCGGAGATCCATCGTCACGCGAGCTGCGGTCAGCCTCGCAGCGGCGGCGCTTTTCGGGTGAGCTCCTGCGGCCGTCTGGAACGCTCTTCCTTACGGTATCTTCCTGATTGAAAGCTCATTTCTTTAGAACGACTTTTTGGGCTTAGTTTGTTCTTCCCCCGCACCTCCGATTAGCACGGTTGGCTACGTACGGTGCGAAAGAAGTTCTGCATTGGTTTCCTCAAAGGTTTCTTCAATTTCCTCCCATATCTAAAAAAACCCCCATACAATATCACTGGCATTGGCCAAGCATCCCAATGCTGAATATGCAAATTACTCAACTGGGGTAACATAAACCGACGATGTACCCTCAGTGAAAACTTGGAAGGACCCTCCTGCAAAGAGAGTCTTGAGAATCGGTGAGGCTTTCCTGGATTAAACAAGTGTGAGAATACGGTGCAACAATACAGCACAACAGCGTAACCAAGCATGACCACCGACAGTACGCGAAGTGTCTCACGTACCCCTAGAGATGTCTCACGTACCCCCTAGAGATGTCTCACGTACCCCCTGGAGATGTCTCACGTGCCCCCTAGAGATGTCTCACGTGCCCCCTAGAGATGTCTCACGTACCCCCCTAGAGATGTCTCACGTACCCCCCTAGAGATGTCTCACGTACCCCCTAGAGATGTCTCGCGTACCCCCTAGAGATGTCTCACGTACCCCCTGGAGATGTCTCGCGTACCCCCTAGAGATGTCTCACGTACCCCCTAGAGATGTCTCACGTACCCCCTAGAGATGTCTCACGTACACCTAGAGATGTCTCACGTACCTCCTAGAGATGTCTCCCGCGTACCCCCTAGAGATGTCTCACGTACCCCTAGAGATGTCTCACGTGCCCCCTAGAGATGTCTCACGTACCCCCTAGATATGTCTCACGTACCCCCTAGAGATGTCTCACGTACCCCCTAGAGATGTCTCACGTACCCCCTAGAGATGTCTCACGTACCCCCTAGAGATGTCTCACGTACCCCCTAGAGATGTCTCACGTACCCCCTAGAGATGTCTCACGTACCCCCTAGAGATGTCTCCCGCGTACCCCCTAGAGATGTCTCACGTACCCCTAGAGATGTCTCACGTGCCCCCTAGAGATGTCTCACGTACCCCCTAGAGATGTCTCTCGTACCCCCTAGAGATGTCTCACGTACCCCCTAGAGATGTCTCACGTACCCCCGGGAGATGTCTCACGTGCCCCCTAGAGATGTCTCACGTACCCCCCTAGAGATGTCTCACGTACCCCCTAGAGATGTCTCACGTACCCCTAGAGATGTCTCCCGCGTACCCCCCTAGAGATGTCTCACGTACCCCCTAGAGATGTCTCACGTACCCCCTAGAGATGTCTCACGTACCCCCTAGAGATGTCTCACGTACCCCCTAGAGATGTCTCACGTACCCCCTAGAGATGTCTCCCGCATACCCCCTAGAGATGTCTCACGTACCCCCTAGAGATGTCTCACGTACCCCCTAGAGATGTCTCACGTACCCCCTAGAGATGTCTCCCGCGTACCCCCTAGAGATGTCTCACGTACCCCTAGAGATGTCTCACGTGCCCCCTAGAGATGTCTCACGTACCCCCTAGAGATGTCTCACGTACCCCCTAGAGATGTCTCACGTACCCCCTAGAGATGTCTCACGTACCCCCTGGAGATGTCTCACGTGCCCCCTAGAGATGTCTCACGTACCCCCCTAGAGATGTCTCACGTACCTCCTAGAGATGTCTCACGTACCCCTAGAGATGTCTCCCGCGTACCCCCCTAGAGATGTCTCACGTACCCCCTAGAGATGTCTCACGTACCCCCTAGAGATGTCTCACGTACCCCCTAGAGATGTCTCACGTACCCGCTAGAGATGTCTCACGTACCCCCTAGAGATGTCTCCCGCATACCCCCTAGAGATGTCTCACGTACCCCCTAGAGATGTCTCACGTGCCCCCTAGAGATGTCTCACGTGCCCCCTAGAGATGTCTCACGTGCCCCCTAGAGATGTCTCACGTACCCCCTAGAGATGTCTCACGTACCCCCCTAGAGATGTCTCACGCACCCCCTAGAGATGTCTCACGTGCCCCCTAGAGATGTCTCACGTACCCCCTAGAGATGTCTCACGTACCCCCTAGAGATGTCTCCCGCATACCCCCTAGAGATGTCTCACGTACCCCCTAGAGATGTCTCCCGCATACCCCCTAGAGATGTCTCCCGCATACCCCTAGAGATGTCTCACGTACCCCCCTCGAGATGTCTCACGTACCCCTAGAGATGTCTCCCGCGTACCCCCCTAGAGATGTCTCACGTACCCCCTAGAGATGTCTCACGTACCCCCTAGAGATGTCTCACGTACCCACTAGAGATGTCTTCCACGTACCCCCTAGACATGTCTCACGTACCCCCTAGAGATGTCTCACGTACCCCCTAGAGATGTCTCACGTACTCACTAGAGATGTCTCACGTACCCCCTAGAGATGTCTCATGTACCCCCTAGAGATGTCTCACGTACCCCCTAGAGATGTCTCACGTACCCCCTAGAGATGTCTCACGTACCCCCCTAGAGATATCTCACGTACCCCCTAGAGATGTCTCACGTACCCCCTAGAGATGTCTCACTTACCCCCTAGAGATGTCTCACGTACCCCCCTAGAGATGTCTCACGTACCCCCTAGAGATGTCTCACGTACCCCCTAGAGATGTCTCACGTACCCACTAGAGATGTCTTCCGCGTACCCCCTAGACATGTCTCACGTACCCCCTAGAGATGTCTCACGTACCCCCTAGACATGTCTCACGTACCCCCTAGAGATGTCTCGCGTACCCCCTAGAGATGTCTCACGTACCCCCTAGAGATGTCTCACGTACCCCCCTAGAGATGTCTCACGTACCCCCTAGAGATGTCTCACGTACCCCCTAGAGATGTCTCAACGTACCCCCTAGAGATGTCTCACGTACCACCTAGAGATGTCTCATGTACCCCCTAGAGATGTCTCACGTACCCCCTAGAGATGTCTCCCGCGTACCCCCTAGAGATGTCTCTCGCACCTCCTAGAGATGTCTCTCGCGTACCCCCTAGAGATATCTCACGTACCCCCTAGAGATGTCTCACGTACCCCCTAGAGATGTCTCTCGCGTACCCCCTAGAGATGTCTCACGTACCCTCCTAGAGATATCTCACGTACCCCCTAGAGATGTCTCACGTACCCCCTAGAGATGTCTCACGTACCCCCTAGAGATGTCTCACGTACCCCCTAGAGATGTCTCTCGCGTACCCCCTAGAGATGTCTCACGTACCCCCTAGAGATGTCTCACGTACCCCCTAGAGATGTCTCACGTACCCCCTAGAGATGTCTCTCGCGTACCCCCTAGAGATGTCTCACGTGCCCCCTAGAGATGTCTCACGTACCCCCTAGAGATGTCTCACGTACCCCTTAGAGATGTCTCCCGCATACCCCCTAGAGATGTCTCACGTACCCCCTAGAGATGTCTCACGTACCTCCTAGAGATGTCTCACGTACCCCTAGAGATGTCTCCCGCGTACCCCCCTAGAGATGTCTCTCGTACCCCCTAGAGATGTCTCACGTACCCCCTAGAGATGTCTCACGTACCCCCTAGAGATGTCTCACGTACCCCCTAGAGATGTCTCACATACCCCCTAGAGATGTCTCCCGCATACCCCCTAGAGATGTCTCACGTACCCCCTAGAGATGTCTCACGTGCCCCCTAGAGATGTCTCACGTGCCCCCTAGAGATGTCTCACGTGCCCCCTAGAGATGTCTCACGTACCCCCTAGAGATGTCTCACGTACCCCCTAGAGATGTCTCACGTACCCCCTAGAGATGTCTCACGTGCCCCCTAGAGATGTCTCACGTACCCCCTAGAGATGTCTCACGTACCCCCTAGAGATGTCTCCCGCATACCCCCTAGAGATGTCTCACGTACCCCCTAGAGATGTCTCCCGCATACCCCCTAGAGATGTCTCCCGCATACCCCTAGAGATGTCTCACGTACCCCCCTAGAGATGTCTCACGTACCCCTAGAGATGTCTCCCGCGTACCCCCCTAGAGATGTCTCACGTACCCCCTAGAGATGTCTCACGTACCCCCTAGAGATGTCTCACGTACCCACTAGAGATGTCTTCCACGTACCCCCTAGACATGTCTCACGTACCCCCTAGAGATGTCTCACGTACCCCCTAGAGATGTCTCACGTACCCACTAGAGATGTCTCACGTACCCCCTAGAGATGTCTCATGTACCCCCTAGAGATGTCTCATGTACCCCCTAGAGATGTCTCACGTACCCCCTAGAGATGTCTCACGTACCCCCCTAGAGATATCTCACGTACCCCCTAGAGATGTCTCACGTACCCCCTAGAGATGTCTCACGTACCCCCTAGAGATGTCTCACGTACCCCCCTAGAGATGTCGCACGTACCCCCTCGAGATGTCTCACGTACCCCCTAGAGATGTCTCACGTACCCACTAGAGATGTCTTCCGCGTACCCCCTAGACATGTCTCACGTACCCCCTAGAGATGTCTCACGTACCCCCTAGACATGTCTCACGTACCCCCTAGAGATGTCTCGCGTACCCCCTAGAGATGTCTCACGTACCCCCTAGAGATGTCTCACGTACCCCCCTAGATGTGTCTCACGTACCCCCTAGAGATGTCTCACGTACCCCCTAGAGATGTCTCAACGTACCCCCTAGAGATGTCTCACGTACCACCTAGAGATGTCTCACGTACCCCCTAGAGATGTCTCACGTACCCCCTAGAGATGTCTCCCGCGTACCCCCTAGAGATGTCTCTCGCACCTCCTAGAGATGTCTCTCGCGTACCCCCTAGAGATGTCTCACGTACCCCCTAGAGATGTCTCTCGCGTACCCCCTAGAGATGTCTCACGTACCCTCCTAGAGATATCTCACGTACCCCCTAGAGATGTCTCACGTACCCCCTAGAGATGTCTCACGTACCCCCTAGAGATGTCTCACGTACCCCCTAGAGATGTCTCTCGCGTACCCCCTAGAGATGTCTCACGTACCCCCTAGAGATGTCTCACGTACCCCCTAGAGATGTCTCACGTACCCCCTAGAGATGTCTCTCGCGTACCCCCTAGAGTTGTCTCACGTACCCCCTAGAGATGTCTCACGTACCCCCTAGAGATGTCTCACGTACCCCTTAGAGATGTCTCCCGCATACCCCCTAGAGATGTCTCACGTACCCCCTAGAGATGTCTCACGTACCCCCTAGAGATGTCTCCCGCATACCCCCTAGAGATGTCTCCCGCATACCCCCTAGAGATGTCTCACGTACCCCCCTAGAGATGTCTCACGTACCCCTAGAGATGTCTCCCGCGTACCCCCCTAGAGATGTCTCACGTACCCACTAGAGATGTCTTACGTACCCCCTAGAGATGTCTCACGTACCCCCTAGAGATGTCTTCCGCGTACCCCCTAGACATGTCTCACGTACCCCCTAGAGATGTCTCACGTACCCCCTAGAGATGTCTCACGTACCCCCCTAGAGATGTCTCACGTACCCCCCTAGAGATGTCTCACGTACCCCCTAGAGATGTCTCACGTACCCCCTAGAGATGTTTCACGTACCCCCTAGAGATGTCTCACGTACCCCCCTAGAGATGTCTCGCGTACTCCCTAGAGATGTCTCGCGTACCCCCTAGAGATGTCTCACGTACCCCCTAGAGATGTCTCACGTACCCCCTAGAGATGTCTCACGTACCCCCTACAGATGTCTCACGTACCCCCCTAGAGATGTCTCACGTACCCCCTAGAGATGTCTCACGTACCCCCTAGAGATGTCTCCCGTACCCCCTAGAGATGTCTCACGTACCCCCTAGAGATGTCTCACGTACCCCCTAGAGATGTCTCACGTACCCCCTAGAGATGTCTCACGTACCCCCTAGAGATGTCTCACGTACCCCCTAGAGATGTCTCTCGCACCTCCTAGAGATGTCTCTCGCGTACCCCCTAGAGATATCTCACGTACCCCCTAGAGATGTCTCACGTACCCCCTAGAGATGTCTCTCGTGTACCCCCTAAAGATGTCTCTCGCGTACCCCCTAGAGATGTCTCACGTACCCTCCTAGAGATGTCTCACGTACCCCCTAGAGATGTCTCACGTACCCCCTAGAGATGTCTCACGTACCCCCTAGAGATGTCTCACGTACCCCCTAGAGATGTCTCTCGCGTACCCCCTAGAGATGTCTCACGTACCCCCTAGAGATGTCTCACGTACCCCCTAGAGATGTCTCACGTACCCCCTAGAGATGTCTCCCGCGTACCCCCTAGAGATGTCTCTCGCACCCCATAGAGATGTCTCTCGCGTACCCCCTAGAGATGTCTCACGTACCCCCTAGAGATGTCTCACGTACCCCCTAGAGATGTCTCTCGCGCACCCCCTAGAGATGTCTCACGTACCCCCTAGAGATGTCTCACGTACCCTCCTAGAGATGTCTCACGTACCCCCTAGAGATGTCTCACGTACCCCCTAGAGATATCTCACGTACCCCCTAGAGATGTCTCACGTACCCCCCTAGAGATGTCTCACGTACCCCCTAGAAATGTCTCTCGCGTACCCCCTAGAGATGTCTCACGTACCCCCCTAGAGATGTCTCACGTACCCCCTAGAGATGTCTCACGTACCCCCTAGAGATGTCTCACGTACACCCTAGAGATGTCTCACATACCCCCTAGAGATGTCTCACGTACCCCCGAGAGATGTCTCCCGCGTACCCCCTAGAGATGTCTCACGTACCCCCTAGAGATGTCTCATGTACCCCCTAGAGAGGTCTCCCGCGTACCCCCTAGAGATGTCTCACGTACCCCCTAGAGATGTCTCGCGTACCCCCTAGAGATATCTCGCGTACCCCCTAGAGATGTCTCACGTACCCCCTAGAGACGTCTCACGTACCCCCTAGAGATGTCTCACGTACCCCCTAGAGATGTCTCACGTACCCCCTAGAGATGTCTCACGTACCCCCTAGAGATGTCTCTCGTACCCCCCTAGAGATGTCTCCCGCGTACCCCCTAGAGATGTCTCACATACCCCCTAGAGATGTCTCACGTACCCCCTAGAGATGTCTCCCGCGTACCCCCTAGAGATGTCTCACGTACCCCCCTAGAGATGTCTCACGTACCCCCTAGAGAGGTCTCCCGCGTACCCCCTAGAGATGTCTCACGTACCCCCTAGAGATGTCTCACGTACCCCCTAGAGATGTCTCACGTACCCCCCTAGAGATGTCTCACGTACCCCCTAGAGATGTCTCACGTACCCCCTAGAGATGTCTCACGTACCCCCTAGAGATGTCTCCCGCGTACCCCCAGGGCTACGGTGTACAGCAGGGTGCCCTAGCCGAAGCCGAATTGTTGAGCTCCCCCCCCCGCCCCCCGTGGGGGACTCACGCGGACGCTGTTCTCGCGCTTGGCCCTGCCGCTGGCGGTGTGAGACAGCACGAGCTTGCGCAGGCCGCCCAGCGCGTAGCAGATGGTCTTGGGGTGCGGCAGCAGGTTGAACGGGGGCGGCAGCGTGCACTTGTCATCAAAGTAGCTGAGCCACAGCTTCGCCCGGGCGAACTTCCACTCCTTATCCTCGTGGTCCTGCTTGGGGGCGAGGGATGACGGTGGTGGATTTAGTCGGTGAGGACGCTCGGGCTCCGAGACCTCTCGCTCGCTCGCGGGGGTGGGGGGGGGTGGGGATAATGCAGCACGCGTTCGGACAGACGCAGGCCACTGGCGGACTTGGGGCATTCAAGCGTCGCTGTCAGCGTGAGACGGCACAGTGGATCGGAGGTCAGAACGCTGAGCTGGCGCCGTTGAGATCCTCGGTTTTTTGGATCCATGCGGCCGCCCGTGACCAAACTGGGCTCCCAGTGGGTGCGACGGTTTGAATCTGGTGATCGGTAACTGCGCACAAAAACAACAAACCGAATCGCATTCGGTGTTGCACTTCATTCGCGTAGATTTCAGGTTCAAAAAAGATATATACATCCGTTTGACTCTATGTACGGTGCAAAAGAAGTTCAACATACATACACACACATAGGACCAACATTCTGAGAGTGGAGCCCTAACGGGTGAGGCATTAAAGGCCGCTCGAAGGCATCTTTTGGGAGACTCACCGCCGCCTGCTTACAAGGCCGGCTCACTATTTATTCATTAAAAATCTCTCTCCCGCGGCCGCTCCCCGGCACACACAAGGGCGCACCGCTCTCGGCGAAATTTCCAAAAGCGTTCGTCATCTGACGACGGTGACCCCCACCCGGGGCGGCAAACGAAACGAAACTCCGCAACGGAAGAGTGATCCATGACTGTGAGGGTGCCAGCTGAGGAGGTGGCACGGCACAACGACGCTGACAGCTTTGAAACGGCCGCCCGTCCCTGCGAGCAACGTCGCCACGCTAATTGGACATCTCGTGTCGTGGTGGGGTGGGGGGGGGGGAGGCGAGGGATAGTTTTGAATCTGGCAACAAGTAACCGCGCGTCTAATTTTAGCGTCACACCCAAGCCACGCGCTGTCACGCACGCGCTGCGGTCGCGGCTCGAGCTGGCGGTCCAAGTGCAACACCGAGTCGCGTGGGGACTCGCTGTTTAAAGTCCGACTCCACCCTCAGCAAGGTCCTCCACCCCTCGTGCTGACGCCGCACTTCGACTCGTCGTCGCGTTCACGTCGCCCCGCGTCGCGTACGCTCACGGCGATCAGCTGGAAGCTGTTGTGCAGCACGGCGACGAGCAGCTTGGCCAGGACGATGACCACCACGACGTTGTAGGTGCCCACGATGAGCGCCCCCACGAACGACTGCAGCTCGTCGGCCGTGGAGACGCGCGTCACGAACAGCGCCACGTGTGCCAGCGAGAAGACGTACCAGAAGAGCGCCGAGCACGCGCCCAGGAACCTGCGGCGACGAAGAACAACGGCGACAACGTGCGGAGCGTCACCGGAGGCGTGAAGGAAGCGCGGGAGAGGTCAGGAAAGGTCAGGGAAATTGGTTGGCCACCGCACACGGACGGTCACCGCATACATGAGTATGGGTCTCTATGGGTCTCTTCCTTCAGATATTAGGAAGACACTGGAGCTACGTGCTTTTAAATCATCATCATCATCATCTAGATCGAACACTCATTTCTTTAGCACTGCTTTTTTCCCTTAGTTTGTCCTTCCCCCGCACCATAGATTAGCCACGGATAGCTACGTACGGTGCGAGAGAAGTTCAACGCACGGTACGTGCATGCGTACGTACGAAACGAGAGGGCGCAACATCGTGGCGCGGCATGTGGCGAACCAACTGGGACCCAGCGCCAACGACAGCAGCAGCAGCGTCGTCATTATTATCGCTGTCGTAACACATCACCCCGCAGCCTTCCTTTACACAAGGGGTGGGGGTGGACTCACCACGGCTTACAAGGCAGTGGCTCGTGGCTGACTCAGTGCAGCTCAGCGATATTTGTGGTAGTCGGTGCTATCATTTGGGGCACCGCGGTGGTGAGATGTTAACTACCTTCGCCTTGTACACAGGAGGTCGTGGGTTAGATCCCGACCCTGACACCTGCTGTATATTTTGAGTTTTCGTGTCTCTCTCCCCGTGGTCGTGTGAATTTAGCTCCGGGTCCTCCGGGTTTTCCCTCCACATTTAGAATCGACATCACCACGCGCTTAGAGTATTTAACTACTTTATTATGAATATTTAACTACTGCCATAAATGTCCACGTGTTCATAAGCCACTTCGTTGAGCTGTTATTTGTGGCCAGGTCGCTTCTGAAAAAGAGCTATGTCGGCTCAGTGGGCCTCACTTGGTAAAAATAAACAATAGTTTATCGTTGTTATACCCAGATGGTGTCTGTGTTGTGGTCAATCACACGAGTGGGCTCAGCGTGGAGTTACAATGTCCGTGGTGAGGTCAGTGTTGGGTCTGGAGTTCGTGTTTATCGTGGCGTAAGATTCGCATTATGGCTTTGAGATGTCCGGAGCCGTGATGGCTGTGCATGCGGCCCATAACCCAGCACTGACCGCCTTACCTGGTAAAAATAATAAATAGTTTAAATGGTTATAGCGAGCGGGCGTGCGTGCGAGCGAGGGCTCACGAGTGGAAGGTGTCGTTGCTCTGCCGCTCGCAGAAGATGCCCGGGCAGTCGGCGCCCTCGTCGGGGAACTTGGCGTAGAGCTGGGTGAGGCCCACGGCGAACGAGACGAGCACCAGCAGGTACATGCCCAGGAACTTGACGAAGTCGCGCAGCATGCGCCCCATCGAGATCTGCGGCGGCACGGCCGGCGGCCGGCATCCGACACGGCCACGACGAGACTGTCACGTGAAAACGAAGACGTCTGCCCGCACGTGCCAAAGTGTTGACCCGATTTGTGACCGATGAGGCTCCTTAAGATTTTTCCGTGGAATTCAGTCGTGAATAGACTGAAGCTGGATGGGTGAGGAATCCGATCAACGCGTCATTGAGCTTGTGTAATTATTTGCGGTTGGCCACGTATGTTGCTGCCTGTAACCCGGCGCTGTGGAGGCAGCAGCAAGGGTTGGTCGATCACCGCACGGATGTTGCTAAACTCCCTTCCTGTGGGCGTCGAGCAGCCATACCCTAAACTAAATGTGGGAATACATCCACATGTATGTAATCGAGTGTTTCCCCCTCGCACGCGTGGGTTTTCTCCGGGTGCTCCGGTTTCTGCGCACATGTAAACACCGTCACATATAGAGGACTGAACAACTTGGGAAATTGTCGGTAGCGTGAGCTCACCGTCTGGCTGCTGCCTTCACGCCTCTCCGCGGTTCCTCGTCACGCCTCTGAGTCATCCTCTCTCTCCACGAGATCGAGCGAATACCGTGCGGCGGCGGTGCGTTACAAGTTTAAAATTAAAATTATAACAATTTGTATAATCTTTTCACTGGCGGTGGTAGGGTACCTGCAGGGGCCCCAGCATGGAGCTGGTGGTGTACATGAAGAAGAGGCGCAGGTAGCTGAAGACGTTGGCGAACGCGAACAGCCCCTCGGCCACGAGGGTCGGGTGGAAGGCGTCCCAGTCCTTGCGCTCGGCGATGGCGTGGAACTGTGGGACGGGGCGGGGAGACGCGGGGCGGGTTTCGGGTCACCGCGCGCGGTTCGTGTGCCCTCAACAACAACGACGACGTCCAACGTTTGCCAAGAGACGCGAGAAAGCCCCACGGCCCCATCCTTTATTAAGCATATACTGAGATAGGCACGTGGCGGGAGGTGTACAGACTCTGACCGTACGGGTCTCATCGCTCGCCGTAGCAACATTCGAGGCTCCCCCAGGTGCCCCCCCGCCCCCACCACCCCAGCATCTCGGCTGTGACTGCGTCGAATGTTTCTGTCGCGTGCCGCTGTTGATGATCGCCCGCATCGGTCCTCGTACGGGAAACCGAGGAGGGGGTTCAGCGGCGCGGCCCAGCGGCAGCGCGCTTCGCCGCTTGTTGCGCGGGTTCGCGGTTCGAACCCGGCGGGCCGCCCCGGTTATTACTGATCAATAAAATCAATGGGTCTTCATTTTACCTGGCAATATCGCCCTCAATAGAGGGGGCACGCGGCAACGGGAATGAGAAAAGAAACCCGTGACGCCGCCAGCGGCTAGCACCGACGCTTATTCGCCGCTGAGGGTGTATCATCCGTGAGAATGCTACGCGCCCGTCTGCTGTACAGTAGACGATAAAGATCCCGCGGCATCATTTCGATATGAGGAGGTCATTGTGCGCCGGCGTCACGCTCCAAATGTGCCATATTTTGAGAACGGCACCGGGAATAAATAATTTGTGATTTACACGCGTAACAACGTCGTCTCCTAGGTGGCATGCAAGCCGCACTGGGAAAGCTGCCACTCAGGCTGCTCCCGTTTCCAATGCGTGAGACGAGCGCTGCGAGGGACCGCATTTTGTGTGCCCAGTTCGTTGTCCATCTCGCCGCACCTCCGATTTGCGGTGCGAAAGAAGTTCAACATACTTACATACAAGTGGCTTAGTGCGTTACTGAAGAAGGAACAAAAATCGCCATAAACGATTACATGCCATACGTCACGGCGGTGCTATGCGCGCGAAGGGATCCCTCCACAGAAACAATGGAAAATGGGAATTCCAGAAGTACATTTCGTTTCCAGCCAGCAGGCATCTTCTTCTGGCTGTTCAACCGCCTCGTCAGCCAGGAAAAGGTCTTGAATTTACCTTGGCGCGTCCAAGTTTTTAGGAAAACCGCGACTGATGACAGCACTGCTGCTGCTGCTGACTTATCGGACAGACGGCCGTGTCATCCATCACGGTTACGGCCTCCACCTGAAAAGGTTTCTACCACATTTTGCACAATAACGAAATAGATAGAAATTGCCGGCGTGCAAGACGCTCCGGGCTTGCAAAATAAAAAGCGTTGAGCTTGAGAGTCGGACAGCGATCCTTTGGCGCGTGTTCGCTTTGGCCAGCTGTCTAATACGTATTGGTGTACCGCACGCCGGTGAAATCTCACCGAGCCTGAGAAATATAATTTTATGATGACCAACATTATTCAACAAACGAACATATTGGCGGTACACCGGTGGTGGTGTACGTTATAAAAATAAATTTTTTTCGCAATAATTAATTATTTTCCCGCGATTCGCAACCCCGGTCATAAAATCTCGCGAGGTGGTGGTGGTGGTGCGTGGTGGTGCGTCAGAATAAGTTCTCGTGATATCTAAGCAGTAGAAAGACGGAACGTTTGTACGAGCGGCTGAACACGAAGCTTCGGAGTGTGTTGCCGTATCGTAGCACCTAGCCTTAAAGGCAACACTTGACTCCTGGTGCCCTGGACTTGGTGGCCACCGTTCCTCGAATCGTTTCCGGAATAATTTCTAGGCGGACGGTGACCATCAAAAGATTGTGACTCGTGGTGTCACACGGTCGAATGGGGAAAGCAGCTGCTGAATCTAAGTACAACTTCCGATGGAGAGTCCTGCGGCTCGCTCAAGGTCAACAGCGACATCGCCGGACTGTTTTATGAGGACCGGTGTGTTGTTATGCTGCACCGGTGCACCGCCAATATGTCGAAGCTGCTCTACAGTTGTCTTAAATAAAAAAAAAGAAACGTCCCAGTTTTATTTAAAAAAAGAAACACATACAGAGAGAGGTGCAAAAAGCACACAGCCTACCCTGTGCATAATGCAACAACCCTCAGCAGATCCTGAAGAAGTGCATTGTGGTCCTCTGGCCTGGGGTCACCGTCAAGGTAAATTTGAGCGAATGCGAGCAGCCAAGAGGCCGTGCGCTGTTTAACGTGTTCCGTCCAGTGTTTGAAACTCTAAACTTAGAAGGTTTTTTTGCGGGCCGGCGCTATTACTCACTAATGATGGGGCTTTTTTCACTCGGTATTGACAGATTTTATTGAATGTGCCAGTCTTGGCCCTCTCCAGCTGGTGCCACGCGTGGCGTTTGTGATGCTTAAGACCCTCGTGTGTGTGTATGTATGTGTATGTATGTGTGTGTGTATGTATGTATGTGTATGTGTGTGCGTATGTATGTGTGTGTGTATGTGTGTGTATGTGTCCGGCTCCAGTTTAACAGCAGAGGTCTCACTCCGAATCAGATGAGCGGCAATATCTTTTCATCGGTTGCGTAACGCTGTGTGGAAGCTATCTGGTCTGTCGCTCCGCACTAAGCTGCAGGTAGTCTCGGCCACGGTCATTCTCTCCCTTCTCTATGTTTGCGAAACGTGGACCCCCTTAATGGAACATCTTCGCCGGTTGGAAACATTTAGGCTGGCCTGCCTACGATCCATCCTGGGGTTAACCAGGCTGGATTGTGTGAGCTCACAAATCCTTGAAAGATCGGGGCAAAGTCCCATCAGTGAGCACCTCCGGCGGGCAAGGCTGCGTTGGCTGGGTCATGTAGCCCGCATGCCCAGCCACCGCATGCCGAAACAGCTTTTGTTCGGCAGGATCGAGGGGGCTAGAGGGGCGCGGCACGGGCTAGAGAAGAGATGGAGTGATGTGGTACAGGACGACGTGGAGCTGAGTGGACTTGCCGATGACTGGTACCAGCGGTGTCAAGATCGGCCTCCGTGGAGGAGGCTCGTGCAGGACGCTACTGGGCAGTTGGAGGCAGTCGCCCTCCAACAACAATGGAGGGCGGAGGAGCGACGCTCACAATAACGAGCGGAACGCCGGGTGGCTAAAGCACAGCAGGTTGGCGCAGTAGGGGGCACAGGTGGTGCATCAGCCAGTCATCGCAGTCATCTTAGTCAGTCGACCCGTGGCACCTGGGTCTGCCCTGTGACCTCCTGCCAGCGGGCGTTCAACACTTCACGTGGCCTCAAGGTGCACATGGCCTGGCACAAGCGTCGTGGTGACGTCACCGCCACTTAGTGGCGAATGGCGGTTGTTGTTGTTGTGTAGGTGTGTGTATGTGTGTGTGTATGGCAAAGCCACGGGCACACGGGAACGCCACTGCATGGGATATCCTTGGTGAAAACTGCACTTGAGGCACGAAACGGTGAATTAAACGCACACGCCGGTTCAAGTCACATCGCCATCTATTAATTATGGTAAGCTACGCAAAGTAATCACTATCGCCGTTGTGGAGAATAATTTGTCGCAAGATACGAGGGCAAACACGCCTCCTTCACATAGTACGTGTTCAAGAGAGGGCCCTTGCTGATCACAAAACTGGCAGGTCACCAGCATTGATTCCAGCGAGCCTGACTCACTGTGTGTCGAAGCCGGTCCAGAGTTTTGCTTGTCTTGGCTTAAAATCGCCTCGAAGATCGTGGGGTCCGCTGGGATGCGTAAACGATACTTTGGTTACTTATACGGATAGACGGTTAAGCGAAGCAGAGGCTCTGCCTGCCTATCGATAGTGTGCAGAGCAATAATGGTGTAACCAGGAAGGCTTCACTTAGGCTCGAGAGATTTACTCGAGCGAGTTTTACTTTGGGATGCTTGGCCAACGAATGTTTTTCTATGCTGTACATTTTATATATATTACGTACGGGCAGCGGCAGCGCAGCGGTTAACTCACTGCGCAGCGAACCCCGGAGACCCGAGTTCCATTCCTGGTCCCGGCCAACGTCAGTGGCGAGCGATAGCGGAACCACTTCTGTGCCCCCCACATCGGTTAGCTGCTCTGACCACATCGGTGAAGCATGGTCAAATCCCACCGCAATGGGCCACCCTCCCCATGACCCGCACAGCATTGGCAGGCCTTCATTCAGCAGCGTCGTCGACAAGAGGGCTGAAGTAATTTTTTATTTGAGGTAAACAAATAAAATTCCCCTTGTTCCAGAGAGCGCGCGGCGTTGTTGTGGAATGACATCACCGCTGGGGGGAGCGCCGTCCCTGCCGTACGGTGAACTCTCTTCGAACCGCGACGTAGCCACCCGCGCTAACCGGAGGGGGCCAGCGGAAGACCCGGTCAGACTTTCCACGCGGGGCGCGTTCGCCCACCCCCCACCACCCCCCCACCACCCCCCCATCACCCCCCCACCACCCCCCCACCACCCCGTGGCTCTTTCGCGTCGACGCCGGCCCCCACTTTGTTTAATCCACCGAGTGCACACCGACCACTCGCGCGGCCTCGCCGTGCGCACTCCATCATTTGGCTGCCAGCTCACACGGCCGCGGGAGGGATTTATAGCTCTCAGCCACGCCGGCGGGGGGGGCGGAAGTGGGTTGGGGAGGCACGAGGGTGGGTGGGGGGCGCGGGGGAGGGTGGGGGGCGCGGGGGAGGGTGGGGGGTGGGGGGTGGGTGGGGGGCGCGGGGGTGGGTGGGGGACGGTGCGAGGGTGGGTGGGGGGGGTGCAGGTGCAGGGGTGGGTGGGGGGCGCGGGGGTGGGTGGGGGGGTGGGGGGGTGGGGGCGAGGGTGATGGGCGTGGAGGTGGGAGGGGTGCGGGGGTGGTTTGGGGGTGGTGGTGGAGACGTGCTCTCAATGTGGTTAAATCACGAGCCTGCGTGCTTATATTCGGTTTGAGAATTGCGTTTCGTTATTTACTGAATTGCTTTTAGCTCTGCGCAGCAGCTTGCGACCTCTGGGTGAAAGGCGTTTCGTGATTGTACATCATCATCATCATTAGTATCACTGCAGCGCCACCGCGCCCACCTTGCAGTTGGCGACCACCTTGAGGGTGAACGTCGCCACGTAGAGCGAGTTCATGACGAAGCTCAGTTGGTTCCGCGACTCGGCCATGAAGTCGTCCAGACTCTCGTACCAGAGCTTCTTCACGTCGGCCCACAGCAGCCCTGCGTGTCGACACCCCCACCCCCCCATCGCGGGCCGAGGGTCGGTGGAGGAAGACGCCGGGGCCGGGACGAGGCGGGGGGGGGAATGCACGAGATAGTGACACAATCAGCAGGTGACAGTTGATAGTGACACAATCAGCAGGTGACAGTTGATAGTAACACAATCAGCAGGTGACATTTGATAGTGACACAATCAGCAGGTGACATTTGATAGTGGAACAATCAGCAGGTGACATTTGATAGTGGCACAATCAGCACGTGACATTTGATAGTGGCACAATCAGCACGTGACATTTGATAGTGACACAATCAGAAGGTGACATTTGGCACCCGAGTGGCGTCACTGTGATGACGACGACGCTGACACTCGTCGCCACGCTCGTTGCCGCGACGACGACGACGGCGAGGACTGCGCACGGAGGCGCCGCGCGGTGCCCGCACCCACCGGCCATCCACATGATGATGAGGTAGTCGACCAGCTCCAGCGCGGGCCCCATCGTGTTCTTCTTGTCCTCGTTGTACACCAGCGAGTAGTGGTTGAGCAGCAGCAGGAAGGTGAAGTACGACGCGCCGTGCGCCACAAACTTGGTGAAGGGGGCGTGCGCCACGCGGCCCAGCCGGGAGCGCGGCCCCAGCAGGTAGGCGAGAGCCAGGCCCGGCCAGGCGAGGCCGAGCGCCAGCACCGTGAGGCCCTTGGCGACGACGTGCCGGCGCCGGTACCCCGACACCTCGCCGTACCACACCGTGTTGAGGAACTGCTGGCAGTTGGACTGCGACACGAACTGTCGGGCGGCCCAGGGCCCGCGCGAGTTGCAGACAAACGACAACAAAGACAACAACAATATATTTTTTCTTGCTTCAATGAACGCTGCTGAGCTTGGCAGCTTAAAAGACGCTGCCAAGCTTAGCAGTGTTCATTGAAGCGCTGTCGTCCTGACAGTTCTGTTCCTTCACCTGAAGAAGGCCACTTGTGTTGTGGCCGAAACGTCGTGAGAATTTTATTTTTATTATTTTACTTCCATTCTACGTGGCATTACCGAAAGAACCAAGAAGATTAATCCCTGCAGTCACGAAAGCTTTAAATCAATAAAAAAAACAATATTGTTGGAGGACAGTCGGGACGAGTGGATGTCGAGGTGGCCCTCATCTGTTGACGGCCCTGAGCCAGCGGTGGGAGCATTCCGCGTTAGCGTGATGATGGGGGGGGGGGGGGGGGGGGGGGGGGGGGCGAGATGATTCGCGATCGCTCTTCGCGCGAGGCCTCCGGTGGAAAGAGCGAACCGAGTTTGTGTCGTTAAGACCCTCCGACGCCTGACGCGCACCAAACAAATTCTACTGTCGCGTCCGCATGCGTTTGCCTGTGGTTCCTCCTCCCTATCGGTCGTGCAAATGAGACTCCTCACCTGGTCTCTCGCCTTCTCACCCGGGTCAATCAAAATCAACTTGGGACCTGAACAAACGAGACCACTCTGGCATCCTCTGTACCCCGACGGCGTCCGTTCGGTGCTCGCGGAGCTGCATTGGCTTCCAGGTTGCCGAACAAATACAATAAGGTCATCACACTCGTTACACACGAAGCGCTTGCCACAAATGAACCACAGTACCTTGTTGATCTTGTCAAGAAGCATAAACCATCAGGCAAACTCCGGTCATTGGCTGGGCCATCGAACAAAGACGGTCACCGCATGGCGCGCTTTAAGATGCGCCGTCTGGAACGCTCTTCCTTCCGATATTAAGAAGCAACTGGAACTCTGCAACTTTTAAATCTGGATTGAAAGCAATTATCTCTTTAGAACTACTTTTTGGTGTTTAGTTTGTTGTCCTTCCCCCCGCACCTCCGATTAGCGTGGTTGGCTACGTACGCCGCGAAAGAAGTTGAGCGTACACGGCGTCCGTGCGTGCGTACGTACCTCCTTCTGGTCGTACTTGATGGCCAGCTTGAGGCGGCTCAGGTTCATGCGCTCCTCCAAGAGGCCGCGCTTGTCCACGGGCTCGTCGCTGGCCGTGTGGTTCAGGATGGCCTCCAGCTCGCGGGAGTTGCGCGCCTGCGCCAGGAGGTCCTTGGCAAAGCTCTTGCACTGCTGCGCCAGCTGCTCGTAATCGTTCCTGGGCACAGCGACGTTCCCGCTCAGCCAGCTCTGCGCTGTTTCGCCCTGAGGACTTCCCAATGGTCACAGCTCGGACGTAAGAGGTCCAACTCGCGATGAAAACAACGGGGGCCGTTGCCGGGCCGCGGTGGCTACGCGCGCGCACGTGTCCTGTAATCCAGCCTCGTCTACGCTGAGCAATGCGCTTCTCAATCCTCATCCGAACCTAGGCCCTTGATTCTCAGCGGGACTTCCCGTGCTCGCACTCCACCCCGCGCTGGGCTGACCTGAACTCGACCTCGACGAGGCTGAGCTCCTTGAGGTCCACGCTGAGCTCGAAGGCGCGCAGCACGGGGTCCTCCTCGGTGAGCATGATGAGCGCGGGGCTGGCGAGCGCGCGGTAGATGTCCAGACGGAACCTGCGGCCGAGGCCGGCGACACGGTGGGGGGGGGAGGGGGGGGGGTTGGGGGGCGGGTAGGCAGCCGCCGGACGAACCGAGTCCTCGCCAAAAACCGCGACGGGTACCGGCGAAAAAATATTTCACCGGGAGTGGCGAAGGCTATCCTTGCGATTCTTGGCCTGGCAGATGCAGCACTCGCAGCCGACGGCGTGCGGCCTCGGCAGCGAGATGTCCTGCTTGAGCAGCACGGTGAGGATCTCGTAGTTGTCGCGGTGCGCCGCCAGGATGACGGGCGCCACGTCCATGCTGGTCGAGTACTCGGGGTTCTGCATCTTCTGCATCAGCTTCTGTGTGGCGAGTGGCGCCATCGCGTGGTCGCGGCGGGAGTGGAGGGGGGGGGTGACGGGCGTCGCGGGATCAACTCCACGCCTGTGAACCCTTATCAGTGCCCTACTTTATTACAGACCCAATGCAGACCTTATTGTCCACCTCGTGCCCTTAAAAATCTCAACGTTCAGCCGACAAAGTCCCATCACAAAGAAGAAACACAAATAAATAGACACGGTTTTTTTTTTTTGCCCGCATTGAAACGGCTGTATGCCGTATGGACCTGAAAAACTCAATTTCCCCGTACAAAAATAGGGGGCAAATATAAGTATGGGTTGCCAGGTATGCATCTCTACCCTCAATATATTACTGTACATTACATACATTATTTTGTATTTAATCAGGTGAGGCCCACTGATATACATCGCGACCAGGGCCACAAATGATAGCCCAAAGCAGTGGCTTATCATCATCATGTGGACATTCATGGCAGCCAAATGCTCTGAACGCACATTGATTCTAAATGCGGAGGAAAAGATCGGAGGACCCCGAGGAAAATCCACGCGGCCACGGGAAGAACGTGCAAGCTCTAAATATAGTGGCTCGGATGAGAGGAGGCACGTGGAGGCTTCATCCCTCAGCTGCAACCTCCGACGTGCGGGAATGTGTTTGTCGCATTCCGTTGGTCGGTCCGCGTACTGGCCACCTTGCGATGCCTCTCTTCACTCGTTCACACGTTGGTCGCGACCCTTCTCAAATGATCCACGTTAACGCTCGGGTTCAGCCACATGGTGGTGTTACAGCTGAAAGCTGTGCCCTTGACCCTCCACCAACCGACAAGATATTGGCTACACGTGCCAACGTATCCATCAAATTCTCACCGATAGAGCTCGTCCTCACCGGCGGTCCGTCACTTTTCACGGCTGAATTTTATTTGACGGCGTATATATTTGAAGTTAAATTCCAAATGTGAAACCTATATTTAAAAAATGTTCTTCCTAAACCTTGTAGTCCCCCCCCCCCAAGGGACCTAACAATTATTTTATTGTATAATTGGAGAAATGTTGCTTTTAACGGGGGGTGGTCACAAATTAGATTCACAAACCGATACCGGTTATGCGCGCGTGGCGTCGGCAACACCACACGGCACGCTCAACGGCACGGCCGTAGGCGCGATGCGGGCGGCGCACAGTGGTGCGGGTGGGTGGGTGGAGGGCTCACCTCGATGGTCGGCTTGGAGGCGCGCCGCGGCCGGTGGTTGAGCAGAATGTCAACGGCCCCCACCACACCGGCGTCGATGGCCACGAGCAGGGCGTCGTTGGCCTGCTCGCCGTCAACACAGGGCGCGAGAGCTCGTGGTCAGCATTGACGGCCCTGCCTTAAAGTCGGACTGGACTGCATGCCCCCCCCCAACCCGTGTGTGTCTGCGTGCATCTCTGGTGGCGGGGTGAATTCGCCCGCTCGCGATTCGATAATTTGTCGCTCTGCACAGGGCTGGGATTCACATCCGTGCTGCTGCTGTTTCAGATGCGCTTCTGCGGCCGCCTTGGAGCGCCCTTCCTTCCTTCCTTCCTTCCGATATTCGCAAGCCACCGGAGCTCTGCACTTTGAAATAATCGAGATTGAAAACTAATTTCTTCAGAACTGCTTTTAGTGTTTAGTTTGTTGTCCTTCGCCCCGCACCACCGATTATCGCGGTTGGCTACGTACGGTGCGAAAGAACTTCAACGTACGGTTCCTACATCTCTGCGTGTTATGCAAGGCACTCCCGACGGTGACCCCTACCGCAGCGCCCTCAACGCACGCTATAAGAGTTGGCGCGAGCACCGAATGTGCTCGCGGACCGCCGTCGTCGTCGTCCATTCATCGTTTACGACGACGGCGAGGAGGATCACCACGGACAACACCACGGGGAGCGGGAACGCGAGGAGGGGCGAGAGCCAGACGGAGAGACGGCGGTGACGGAGGAGATTTCGGAGAGCGCCCAGGGCAAGGGGACCGTGGCCGCAATCCATTAAGTCCTCAACGTCGCCGACGAGCGGACAAGAAGGGACACGTGCAGGTGTTGGGGCGTCGCAGCGAAACGATGTTAAATCGCTCGCCTAGCATACAGGAGGTCGTTTGGATTTTTAACCGGGTCTTCCGGTTTTTCACCTCCACGGTTAGAATCGACATCGCGCGTTTAGAGTATTCGGCTGCTATAAATTTCCACGCATCAATAAGCCACTACATTGAGCTGCTATCCTTTGTGGCCAGGTCGCTTCTGAAGAAGAGCTAGATAGCTCAGTGGGCCTTACCTGGTAAAATTAAAATTTGTTTTAATCGGAGGTGCATTTGTGGCCAGGTCGCTTCTAAAAACGAGCTATATAGATACCTCAGAGGGCCTTACCTGGTCTAATAAATAAACAAGTTTAAGTTTAATCGGTGTAGGTGTTGGGAGAAGGGAGGCTCGATTGCGGCGGATCGGAATCCTCGCCGTCACCCTGAGCGTGGCCGCACCTGGCACGAGTGCTGCAGTAGCAGCATGAGGACGTCCAGGTTCTCGTTCTCGATGGAGATGTTCACGGCGCTGCGGCCCAGCACGTCCAGGCAGTCCACGTTGAGGCCCGAACGGCCCCGCTCCTCCAGCAGCCGCCGCACCATGTAGTAGTCGCCTGGGGGCGGCACGCACGGCGGGGACGGAGTCATCCTCGCGGGCCACGCAAGGAGGCCGCGGTCGCAGCGGGAGCTCGTCCAATGCATGACGGGGTTAAAGAGCGCGTGGTGGTGCGCTGCTGCTGCTGCTGCTAGCCAATGGCACGTGGTGGTGTGCGGCTGCTCGCAAACAGAGCGTGGTGCTCGCAAACAGCAGGAATGCATAACCGCCACCACGCGCGTGCCATGTGACCACCACACTGCATGGTCTGATGCTCTAATCCTGCTCTAGGCCACGTGGAGGTGCTCTTACTCCCGTACTGAGCACAGCTGATGCTGCTGCTGTTGCTGAATACACTAAGCATGACCAGGACGGGCAGGAGATCTTGATGGCGGTGCTGATCGTCACCCCTGCCATGCAGTGCGGTGCTGCGTTTTCTCCGAGTGCTCTGGTTTTCTCCCGCATGAAGAGAAACTCTCAACGGTGGGATTGACCAAACATCAAAACTCAGTGAATATTTTCTTCATAATTTTTGTTTACAATAATTAGCAAGTTGGGTGGCTTTCATTACCCTAGTGAATAGAGGGGAACAATGTATTTTTACATTCCGTTTTTTATGTATTCCCCAGGATTACAAACACTTCCAGGTCACCAATGACTGCAGAAGATCCGACTTGCTCATATGCTTTCTCACTGAATTTAATTTTGATGAATGATTCACCGGACATAGAAAAGTTAACGATCTGTGCAGATAGGCTTCATAATCTGGAGACGTTGTAACGATCGATAGACCCTCGAAGGATGTTTGGAGATTGCAATCAATCTCCAACGTAGGTAGTTAAAGCCCTTTGCCGTGGGGCTGATCAGCGGAAAGGAAAACTATTCAGTCGACAGAAGAGTGGGACATTGAAAGCACAGTGGGGTAACCTCTATTCTTTTTTAAACCCAAGCCAAAAAAAAATCCTGATTAGCCTTTGAAAGCCACATATTCTTCCAGCGTAGCGGACAGGCACAATCTGTTAATCAAACGAGTTGAGATGCCAGAGAGCGGCGTTGAGCTGTTAACCCGGCGGACGCGACTTCTGATTCCCAGCCACGGCTACCGCGACCGGCCGTGCGCCCCGCACCCGCGCCGGTCGGGGTGGCCAAGTTTGGTGAAACGGCGCGCGCTCTTGAGTCTTTACCGAAACGCGGTAGCGTTCGGAGGCGTTCACCCAGCGGTGGATTGGCGCGTGGCTGCAGCTGTGCATCGTTCCTGTGTGAGAGCAAAGCACCTTTCTCGCAGGCGAGCAGGAAGATCTTCTCGTCGATGGTGGTGTCCTCCTTGACCTCGCGCATGTCCTTGAGGTTGAGAAACTTGTCGGAGCCTGGTTCGTCCCGGCTCTGGTAAAGCCCGGCCATCACCGCACCGCCGCCGGCCCTGGCCACGAGCAACACCATACACATCAACGACCACCACCATCGCCACTGACACCACGACAACTACCACCAACTCAACCACCACCACCAATGCCATGGACACCACGACAACCACCACCAACTCAACCACCACCATCGCCATGGACACCACGACAACCACCACCAACTCAACCACTACCATGGCCATGGACACCACGACAATCACCACCAACTCAACCACCACCATCGCCATGGACACCACGACAACCACCACCAACTCAACCACCACCACCATCGCCATGGACACCACGACAACCACCACCAACTCAACCACCACAACCATCGCCATGGACACTACGACAACCACCAACTCAACCACCATCATCATTGCCATGGACACCACGACAACCACTACCAACTCAACCACTACCATGGCCATGGACCCCACTAAAACCACCAATGACAAGGCTCCCCCGTACAGCCTTAACAGACGTTTGGGGCAGGTGTCGTTAATGAGTTCCGATGAAGGCCGGCACGGCACGCGAGGGGGTGGGTGGCCAGCACCACGCCCGGCCACCTTTGTCTCCCTAGTGGCGATGTTTACACATCGCACCAGGTACTCATTTGAGGCAGAGTCGACCTAGGGAAGACCCAGGACCGGTTCAGATAATCGTCACCGGTGTTGGCTGCGAGCGGGAAATCGAACTCGGGTCGCTGGGTTTCGTAGCGCAGCGTAGCGCGCTAACCGCTGCGCCATCGCTCCCCACCACATCCACCAGCTGCCGCATGAGAGGCTTCCCGCACACGAGGAGGTGTTGGTGTTGTTGGTGTTGTTGGGGCAGCTCGAGCCGTCTCGACCTGCGCCGTGCCTCCTTAGGAGCGCGTGGGCTCAGTCGAAACCCGCCGCGTAACGTGGAGTGGACAAACTGGGCACAGCCACACACACCGCGCACGCTACACGTGTAGCTGCACGTGTAGCGTGCAGTGCACAACGTGTGTGTACACATGCAGGGCACACGGTGGTCGGCGCGGCAATAAACCAGCCGTAGAATCAAGTTAACGCGATATTTCAAATCGAATCAGAGTGCCGAGCATCACGTTAATACATCGACGATCTCGCACTCCAGTTGCGATGTTGAGTCAAATCGGTTGCAGGAAACCGGTTTATATCCTCCAAACGCGACGATACAGCAGCGCTGAATACTGAAACCCACGTCCAGACCGGAGTTCAACCCCAGCACAGTTGAAGGTTTGTTTAAAGAGGGCCCACGGTTGTTGATACGCGAGACGGCTTCGGCACTGCTAATGCCGCCGTGACGAGCTCGCATCTCACCGCGCGGTAGCATTGAGTGGGTGCTGACATTGGCAAGACGTTTCGGCCACGGACACAATCTTAGGTGCCAGAATTCGCCGCAGAGACCCAGTAGCCGGCGCTGGTGGTGACGTTGCCTTCCATGTGTTTTGATGACGAGTACAGGACGTGTTGTCACGTGCAGCCAGGCGCATCGGCGTCAGCCAGCTGACCACCGATGCCGCCGTACATGATGTGAACAGCATTGGCAAATCAACTCTTGAGTGGGTGGCCCAGTGGTGAATGCACAGCGGCTGTGAACCCACGCCAGCCCGAGCTGGATTGTAGGCCACGGCTAACCTCAAGTGGCCAGCCATGTCGGAACCGGTCCATGTGACCTCCACTCCCCTTCCTTCACCAACCCGCAATGACCATCGCGGTTAAATATGGTCAAAACAACATCCCTCCCGCCCCCCCATGTGACACCACGGCGTGGGAAGGTGTTGATCTAGCGCGGATTTAACACGAAGGGCTTCTGGGCGTTACGAACCACAGCCGTGGCGCGGCTCCGCGTGACGTTCGCGCTGCGTTACAATAACAACGTCGATGGCGTGCAGCAGCCTGCACGGCGCAGCTCGGCCAGCCTGTGTACCTTAGCTCGCGTCCAGCAATAAACACGGCGGGTCCCGGGCCCGCTGCCTGGGCATGCGAGCTGGAGGTCGCCCTTGGCTGATAGGGGAGCTCTCCTCGTGCTCCGTGGCGCTCCGTGTCTGCAGCGGAGCCACCGCGGAACGATCAAAAATCCCCAAAATAAACAAGAGAGGTAACCACACACACAGAGAGACAACGCGAGCAGGGGCCTACTCGCTCGCTCGCACCGTCACAGCGACAGAAGCAGCAGCAGCAGCGCCCCCAAGCGAGCGAAGCGCGCAGCGCGGACACCGCGCCGTGGACAGCGCTCGGCTCGCCGCGGCGCTGTCCACAGCGCGGTGGTGCTGAATCCTTCCCACAATGACTCCCCTTGCTATGCCACGTGGGAATGCAATAGCCCATGGAAAGCACACCACATGATAAGCACGCATACATTGTTTGTATTATAATAATATATTGAACGTTTGTGATTTAAACCGCTCACTACTCCCTCTCCAGGGAAACACGAGACAACGTACAGAGCGTCATGGTGGAGAAAAAATATCTCAACCTTCACGTGCCGCGACGCATTCAACACAACTCAATGCTGACCAGGGCTCTGGTAGCTCAGCCTCGTCTCCCTGACGTGTCTGCTCGAAACGAGACACAATAAACAAGAGTTTCTCGCCATAACTTCACGTGGCCGCATAGAAAGAGATCCCCAGGGCGAACCAGGCTGTCTTGGGGCTGTCACATTCTCACCCACAGCAGGGACGAGTCTGGGTCTGCGTTAGCACCGACTTTATTTCACAGTTCAACGTTGTTCGTGAAGCATTATGGAACATCTCACGTTCGTTCACTCCGCGTTGCAACACAAAATGCGATCTTTGGGAGTTCATGGCTTTCTGTTGGCACCGCACTTCCGTGAAGTCTCGTCCGTCAAATTACGGATATAGGGCACAGTCAGTTCAACACGTAGGCTTTTGCGACCAATATTATCCATAATAAAGGTGTTTGGGGGTTAGATCGCGTAAATGTGTCGTTCAACCCGTCACCACCCGACACAGCCAATTAGCAATTGGCTGTGATGTACAACTGCAATGCCCCAACCCTGTTGCCTGCCACGGCCAGGAGGTGGCAGCACATCAGAGGAAACGGATCTTCGTGCGTTTTGAGAATTTCATTCGCCGCGCCTCGACTTAGGGTCCTCCACTCCATCTCTGCCGTCGCTCTCCCGTCACGCGAACTCCGTTCATCATCGCAGCGGCAGGTTTTGGCTGGCCATGGAACAAAGACGGTCACCGCATCGCGCGTTTTCAGATGCACTTCTACGGCCGTCTGGAACGCTCTTCGTTCCGATATTAGGAAGTCGCTGTAGCTTTGCATTTTTAAATAATCTTGATTGAAAAATATTTTTTTTAGAACTGCTTCGCGTGTGTAATTTGTTGTCCTTAACCCACACCTCCGATTAGCGCGGTTGGCTATGGACGGTGCGAAAGACGTTTAACATACCCACGCACCCTGGACCACAGCTCACGGTAGAACTCTGCACAGAAGCGCGACTCACAACCTCCGCCTCCTCTACACCAAGAACCAGGACCGGCACTGCCGAGCGGCGTTTCTCAACGACAGCCCCTGCCGTCTGGGACATGGACCAATCGTCCGCTGCACATTCGCGGAAATCTACACCGACTTTTCAAGCGACATTTAAAAGCCTCCATACATCTCGCCTGTGTTTCGAATTACCCTGAGCTTGCCTCCACGCCTCAAGTCTGTGAAACATTGTGCGCGTGATAAATTGCATTTTTATGATGACAGTCTGTACGTTTTGTCTGCATGTGTACTCGTTTCATTGCATGAGCTGGCACCTTCTGAGACTCACCAAGATTATACTACTGTTTGAGTAAAGCACAAACGTTTATTTGTATTCGTAAACTTGACAAACACTGTAAAAGACACAAGGCACTTAATCCCATCAATCAGCGCGGTTGGCTACAGACATTGCGAAAGAAGTTCAACATACAAACAAGGCACCAAGCCAAATTTAAACAAATATTCACCATTTGAAGTAATAAAGCTCGAATACGGTATAACACATTCTCGTGTCCGAGAGAACTCGCAATGAGGAATGGCAGGATCACTTGTGTCACGTAACAAAATAAAGACCAAGGGAATTTCTGTGCCTGTAACAGCACTTTTCTAATCTTGATTTGAAGCTTTCGTGACTGCAGGAATCCATACTCTTTGGTTCTTTCGGTAAAGTCACGCAGTTAGAAATAAAAATTTTAAAAATCACGACGTTTCGATTGCAACACAAGCAACCATCATGAGGTGGGAAAACCACAGCAATATTTTTTTTGCAAAAACGTCGTGATTTGTTTTTATTTTATTTTTAACTACGTGACTTTACCGAAAGAACCAAAGAGTAACACTTTTCTATTCGAGGTTTGCAAGCCACGACCTGAAAAAGGGCTTCAGGGGAGACTTGGAAAAGTTGTGCAATTCCTCCTCCGTTGAAGGATAGACTACAGTGTTTTTCTATATGGTCTATAGTTTGGGTTGCATGGTCACTATCGCAGGACTGTTGCTTGTCTTTAATGCATCTATATGCGTCTCTATGCATCTCTATAGGTCTCTGCATCTCTACGAGTTGACAATATAGTCCATAGTTTGGGTTGCATGGCCACAATCGCACCAACGTGGATTTGTGTCTAAAATGTTCCATGTGTGGAGGAGGTGTTGCGCATCGGCCTGGGTGGGAGACGGCGGACCCCCCTTCCCGCGGTGGCTCCGCATGCTTCACGTCTTCGTGTCACCGTAAAACACTACTACAGTCATCGAGGCGACACGGACATCAATAACTCGAATCCTGATATGACCAGTAACAGCGCCAAGGCCACGGGAGAGCCAGTCACACAATCTCCCTCGCGTTTGCCCAATAATCCACCACCCTGATGGTGGTGGTCGTAACGAAGCCGGTGCTGTGACACCGCATCGAGTGGTGGCTGTAACGAAGCCGGTGCTGTGACAGTGTACCGAGTGGTGGCTGTAACGAAGCCGGTGCTGTGACAGTGTACCGAGTGGTGGCTGTAATGTAGCCGGTGCTGTGACAGTGTACCGAGTGGTGGCTGTAACGAAGCCGGTGCTGTGACAGTGTACCGAGTGATGGCCGTAACGAAGCCGGTGCTGTGACAGTGTACCGAGTGGTGGCTGTAATGTAGCCGGTGCTGTGACAATGTACCGAGTAGTGGCTGTAACGAAGCCGGTGCTGTGACAGTGTACCGAGTGATGGCCGTAACGAAGCCGGTGCTGTGACAACGCAACAGCAGAGTGACGTCACAGCGCCGCGAGCTGTTGAGAGTGTGGGACTGGTGTCTGTGTCACGCATTAATACTGACTATTTTTTGTTAACAAAAAAAATTACCACGTATGTTTATGTATTTTAAAAAGAACATCGCGTTTTGATGCAGTGAAATGCAATGTGGGAATGGTGCCATTCATTTATCAGAGCCCGTATGCACCATTTATCCTACCCAAAGTCAAAATATTTTATCCACAAAATGTGCTTCTCTGAGATCCTGCCTCCTGATGTATCAGATATGAGTTTTCATCTGTATTGCTATTTGTGTTGCATGTTGAAACCACTCGTGGTCAGAATGTGAGGTTTTGCATTTGCTCCAAGTTGCCGTTGATCCGAGCCATAAATGCTTCCGTTTGGGCAAGCCAGGACTCTAGCTCGTCAGCTTTCCTCTTTTTGCGTTCGAAATCTTTCGCCACGTCATCCACGGCGATCACAAGAGCCTCCATCTCCGGATAACGGTTAATCATGGCCGTCATTTTCTTCTCCAAGCTCTCGAAGCTCACTTTAAACTGCCAATGAGACTGGTTGAGTCGTGCAACTTCAAGGTTCAGGTCTGACAAGGCGTCCAGATTCCTGAGCGCCCACTTCTCCTCGCTCACCGCGTCGTCTTTACTCTGCGCAATGATGGCCTTGGTGTTCCTCAGCATGCTTCCACGTAAATCCTCCAGCTTGGTCTTCAGCAAGCTCACCTCGTGATCCGCTTCGTTCACGGCCACCGTCACTGCGCTCCGGAACGATTTGCTTTCGTCGCGCAGATCCTGAATTTCTCGTCTCAATTGTGGAAGGGTTTCGTTCAGAAGGATCTGCAGCTCCGCCTGCTGTCCGCGCCGATCCTTCAGTTGCTGCTGCGACCGGTGCCTTTCCTTCAGCAAAGCTTCAGAGAACTTCAGCTGGAAATATAACCACAGACAACAGCACGTGAGTGAACACACAGCATACCATTCTGGCAGTAGGGGGGGGCGGGTGAGCGATGTTGCTATTGGTTATTCCAGTTAAGTAAACTAGCATGCGATACTATGCTCACTAAGCAAATTTCAGCCAGACAAGTTGGCCTGTGGCTGCACCTGCGGCGCTGCAGCTCTACTGCTGCCCACCGCACGCGTACATTATTTGATTTTACGCATTTAACTTCCTGTATAGACCCCACCCTCTTCCTGTATGCCCCGCCCCATTACTCCTTAGGCCCAACCCCTCGTTGCCCTTCGAGGTTAGGACTTCTGAGACACTTTACAAATATTTAAAATCTCGACTAAAACGACTCTGCCTAAAATGCCTTTCTCTCTTTAGTTATTTTCAACCGTCTCTCTCTTTTCTTCTTTACTTGGTTGTTGACTATGTTCCACCTTGCCATGCATAGCACCCTGAAAACGATTAAGAGAAAACGATTGCTATTAGGCCACACCCATTCCCCTGGACACGGGGTTGAACTTGTTTAGGTGGAGGTTATGTAAGCGGGCAGTGCATGGTTAGCAGGGGTAGCGCTGCATGTATGTTGAACCTCTTTCACACCGTACGTAGCTAACCTGTGCTATCGGAGGTGAGGGGGAAGGACAACAAACTACACAAAACAAAGCAGTTGTAAAGAAATTAGTTTTCAATCCAGATTATTTAAAAGTGCATAGCTCCAGTGGCTTCCAAATACCAGAAGAGTGTTCCAGACGGCCACAGAAACGCATCTGAAAGCGCGCGATGCGGTGACCGTCTTTGTTCGATGGCGGGCCAAAAGCCGCTGCGAGGATGATCGGATTTCGCGTGATGGTTTATGCTCCTTTACGAGATCAGCCAGGTATTGTGGTTCATATGTGGCAAGCACTTTGCGTTTAACGGGTGCAACCTTAAAGCACTGTATTCGTTCGGCAACCGGGAGCCATTGCAGCTTGGCGAGCAATGAACAGTTGGATCTTGCGGTACCCGTTAAGACGCGTGCCAAAGAATTTTGGACACCCTGCAGCTTGGTAATGTTTTCGCCAGATGTACCGCACAGTAGCGAGTTGCAATAAATTATGGATGGGGTCGATAGGGGTGGAGCAGATTTCACGACCATGACCAGCAGAATCCCTCTTAAGAGCAGCAGCAACATGGCAATCGACGCGTGCTTGTCTCGTGACCGTTTAATACAGGGGTGGGGAACGTCCGGTCCGCGGGACGTGTGAGGCCCGCGAAACCATTTGGTGTGGCCCTGCCAAGGCAACCGCAGGCGGGACTCGAAATGCAATAAATCTAGGAGCAAACCTGGAAAAGCAGTTGCGAGTAGCAACATCGTCAATACCAGCTAACATCATCACACGCCTCACCCAAGGAGAAGCAGTTCCAGCCATCACATTAGGGGCGAGTTAATTAAATGTTTGACCAAATATAACAGGCTAATTTTTAAGTTGATAATTTTGTATGGCCCGCGAATGATGTGATAAATATCCAAACGGCCCTTGGCAGAAAAAAGGTTCCCCACCCCTGGTGTAATAGTTCACACGGACCGTAATTGACAACAGCACACATTCAGAGACGCTCGCCTTTTCCGACAAAGCTGAGAGGTCAGCGTGCAGGGAGGCCACGTCGCTCTGTAGTCCCAGCTGCAGCTGCGCCAGTCTGGCCTCCAGCTCCCCCCTCTTCACCGAGTACACATACGTGAACCTGGGAGGGTGGAAATCACACACACACACAAACCCCACGTCTAACAACAGCAGCAGCGGCGGCGGCGGCACCATTATAACACGAAGAATGTAAAAAAAGACACAAATCATATTTATTCGAGGCAAATGATTGTCCTTGTGTGGAGTGTGTACGTATTCCGAAAGCGGGAAACCCCCGACAAAGCCAAACCTTCCGTGACGTGGAAGATTGTGCACATGAACCAATGTGTAGCACTTAACCCTGTGTCACTGTTGACGTGACACACTAGTAGTGACAGTACTGTAACAATGTTTAACCCTGTGTCACTGTTGAAGTGACACACTAGTAGTGACAGTACTGTAACAATGTTTAACCCTGTGTCACTGTTGATGTGACACTAGTAGTGACAGTACTGTAACAATGTTTAACCCTGTGTCACTGTTGAAGCGACACACTAGTAGTGATAGTACTGTAACAATGTTTAACTTTGTGCTACTGTTGACGTGACACACTAGTAGTGACAGAACTGTAACAATGTTTAACCCTGTGTCACTGTTGAAGCGACACAGTTGCCGCAGTTGTTGCTGTCAACTCACGTGCCCAGTGCGAGCGGCACCACCATCATCATCAGCAACAGCAGCGGCGGGGTTCTAAACCCCGCGTCCACACGCGACACCATGCCCAGGCAGGGCCCTCTCCACCACCGCGGGATCAGAAAGAGATGAGATCGTGAGATCAGGATGAGCTCATGAGATCGTGAGAGCAAGAGATGATGGGAGATCGTGGGATGCCAAGATCTGGGGAAGATCGCGAGATCGTGAGAAGATCGCGAGGCCGCAGCTCTTGCACCGTGCGGCCCTTGTGAGTGCCCCACGCGTCGCGAGCGGCCCCAGAACAGGGGGCCAGGGGGCCGTGCGGGCGTCGAGATGCGAGCCAAGAGGGCACACGGCCACGGGGCGGCCACAGCCACGCACCGCTACCAATACCCGCCAAGTGACGGGGACGTCACCAGTGGGGCCTGTGCCAGGCTAGGTGCACTTTGAGGCCGCGTGAATTGTCGAAGGCTCGCTGCTGACAACTACCAACACCAACTACCAACTACCACCACCAAACAACCACCAACCACCACCACCAACTAACCACCACCAAACAACCACCAACTACCAACCACCAACTACCAACCACCAACTACCAACCACCAACTACCACCACCAAACAACCACCAACTACCACCACCAAACATTCACCAACTACCACCACCAAACAACCACCAACTACCACCACCACGAAATAACCACCAACTACCACCACCAAACAACCACCAACTGCCACCACCAAACAACCACCAACTACCACCATCAACTACCACCACCACCAAACAACCACCACCAAACAAACACCAACTACCACCATCAACTACCACCACCAAACAACCACCAAACAACCACCACCAAACAAATACCAACTACCACCACCAACCACCAACTACCACCATCAACTACCACCACCAAACAACCACCAACAACCACCACCAAACAAACACCAACTACCACCACCAACTACCACTATCAAACAACCACCACCAAACAACCACCAACAACCACCACCAAACAAACACCAACTACCAACTACCACTACCAAACAACCACCAACTACCACCACCAAACAACCACCAACTACTACCACCAACTACCAACACCAAACAACCACCAACTACCACCATCAACTACTACCACCAAACAACCACCAACTATCACCACCTACCACCACCAAACAACCACCAACTACCCCCACCAACTACCACCACCAACTACCAACACCAAACAACCACCAACTACCCCCACCAACTACCAACACCAACCACCAACTACCACCACCACGAGACGACTTCACCTCGAGACGCCCCTCGCCCGTGGCCACGATTCAACAAGGCTGCAGCACCAAGTTGTCCGGTTAACAACAACAATAATAACAATAGGCGTGACACACAATAGGCGTGACACACAATTAGGCGTGGCACACAATAGGCGTGACACACAATAGGCGTGACACACAATTAGGCGTGACACACAATTAGGCGTGGCACACAATAGGCGTGTCACACAATAGGCGTGGCACACAATAGGCGTGGCACACAATAGGCGTGACACACAATTAGGCGTGGTACACAATAGGCGTGTCACACAATAGGCGTGTCACACAATAGGCGTGTCACACAATAGGCGTGACACACAATTAGGCGTGACACACAATAGGCGTGGCACACAATAGGCGTGTCACACAATAGGCGTGTCACACAATAGGCGTGACACACAATAGGCGTGTCACACAATAGGCGTGACACACAATAGGCGTGTCACACAATAGGCGTGACACACAATTAGGCGTGTCACACAATAGGCGTGACATTCATTTGTTCCCCAGAAAACAGACAATGCCCTTTTGTAAACCGGTCACATCCATCAGAGAGGGTTGTTCTAAAAAAAAGTGGAGAGAGAAAAAAACGCCACGAGTAAGAGGTAATTCATAAAACCGGCGCTAAAGTTACTGCCGTGTTTACGAATACCGTAAGAAACTTCTCTGCTTACGATTTGTTCGTAAGTGCAACTTTACTCCTGTACGGCGTGTACAACTAAACACGGGGGAATGGCTTTAAACTTTGTATAATCTCCTGTAGATGCAGACGCGTTGCGGCGTAACAAAGCTTCGCTACAAGTCGCCACTGAGCAAATCGCTCACGGTCTCTACCGTGAGCGAACTGGTTGCGGAGGACGTGCACATCTAAGCGATTAAATTGCATGCAATTCAGATTACACGCACCTGAATGTCTTCGAATTGCAACCATATTGCATGCAACTGACGGCGGAGGCGTACATCCCGAAATAATTAATACGCATAAACATCATGAATATTACACCTCATGAATGTGTCACAACATGAATATTACACTTCATGCATATTTCACTCCATTGATGTTCCCCTCATGAATATTTAACTGCGTGAAAACTTCACTTGATGAATATTTCCCCTCATGAATATTTCACCTCATGAATATTTCCCCACATTAATATTTTTAAATAAATAGAATAAAATAAATGAAAACTAAATTAAATCACGACGTTTCGTCCTTCTCCAGGTGGGGACAACGTAGCGAAAGCACAAACGCTTATTTTATTCTATTTATTTTGTACCTACGTGACTTTACCGAAAAAAACAAAGAGTATGAATCGTAGCTTCAAATCTAAAATATTTCCCCTCATGAAAATTTTACCTCATGAATATTTCCCCTCATGAATATTTCCCCTCATTAATATTTAACCTCATGAATACTTCACCTCATTAATATTTCACCTCATGTATGTTTCCCCCTCATGAATATTCCCCCTCATAAATATTTCGCCTCATGAATATTTCCCCTCATGAATATTTAACCTCATGAAAATTTCACCTCATGAACATTTAAGCTCATGAATAGTTCCGCCTCATGAATATTTAACCTCATGAATATTTCACCTCATGAATACTTCACCTCATGAACATTTCCCCTCATGAACATTTTCCCTCATCAATGTTTCACCTCGTGCATATTTCACCTCGCGAATGTTTCACCTCGCGAATATTTCACCTCGCGAATGTTTCCCCTCATTAATATTTCACCTCGTGAATGTTTCACCTCGTGAATATTAATCGAAATTATAATCACGTGTTCACCTCGCCGGGGGTCCTTAGGGTTCCACAAGTACAAATGGCGCCAAACGAAGGTAACCTCGGCTGCGCGGTCGCGCCGTCTTGCTTACGGATCTCCTCAGTTCGCCGACCTCCGTGTCACGGCTCTGACACAACACGGACACCACTCTTCACTTAACCACGAAGTCGTTTCGCAAATTACCGTTTATTTTTAATTATTATTACACGTCTTCTTTGGTTCTTTCGGTAAAGTCACGTAGAATGAGAATAAAATAATAAATTGATAAAATAAAATAATTTATTATTTTATTCTCATTCTACGTGACTTTATCGAAAGAACCAAAGAAGATGAATCATTGCAGTCACGAAAGCTTTAAATCGAAATTTATTATTACACGCTTTCTATTAACTCACTCTGTTGTTTGTTGTTGTTGTTGAAGTATCCTCAAATCTTGTAACTCAATTTTAACCCACTTCCCAATGTGGTATCGACTGCAAACTTGGTATACTTATGTCACACCGATGACAATACGATATTCTATCATTAAAATAAAAAAATTGTCCACGCTCAACTGACGTTGGCTGTAAATAACCACGGGCCCCTTACGTTGTGGCGAGCTTCGAGGCCACTTCCTGGAGTCGTGGAGTTCTTCCATTACTAGTAGGGTACATTTAATTAAAGCGTGTTTAAAAAAAAGTATTTTTAAATATTACTTGTTATTTGTCACGATGTGCTGAGTCAACCCGGCATCCAGGATTTAAATCTCCGAGCCACCTTTGGCTGGCTATACCCCCCCACTATCGGACCGCCTACCACAGATCTTTAAATACAGCTATTTTATCGACCCCTTGAGGGAGGGGGTGATGATGGGAGGGATGATTTTATCGACCCCTTGAGGGAGGGGGTGATGATAGGAGGGATGATTTTATCGACCCCTTGAGGGAGGGGGTGATGATGGGAGGGATGATTTTATCGACCCCTTGAGGGAGGGGGTGATGATGGGAGGGATGAATTTATCGACCCACGGAGCCCGCTGCAGGACAGCCTGTAGCACCTGGTCATGCACAGTGTCGGGGCTGTTCGTACACTCGCACGGAAACAAATATAAACGTTTAAATAATAATAAGGGTTGTGGTGGAGGGTTTATATAGTCGTTAAAATTTACATATCTCCATGTTATGTACGTAGCCAACTGTGCTGTAATCGGCGGTAGGCGATGATCTGAAGCAAAAAGCCACCGAATGAGAATATTGGGTCGTGAAAGTCTGCGCAAACGTTTTAATGCAAGCACAGTAAGCACGGTATATGTACAAACTATTTAAATACCGCAAGTTACTGGGACATTACTTTCGGGGGGTTTGTTTTTTTGTAACGGACACCGGTTCGCGAGTGCTTAGGAAGCCATCCTCCGGATACACAGGTGCCTCGCCATATAAATGTGGAATGACTTGTGGGAATTTCGACTTCATTTAAGTTTAGACATTTAATTTTCGCCAATTTCGACATTCAAACAACGAACACGCCTCGGCTGTGGCGTCTTTTACCGCATCCAGCTGCCAGGGACCGCGATTCATGGTGGTGGTAGGGGGCCCCATTCACTCATTCGGCGCGTGTTACAAGCAGTGCATTTGAGGACTTGCAATTAATTTACTTTAATTACCACTCACGGCACACGCCTTTTCCAATAACGTTACTATAGTCGCATTAACATTGCCACATTACCCATCGTTAGATTACCCTGCAGAGAGCACATGCGCGCATTACCATAGTTACATTACCACGCACGGCGCAGATGCAAATGCCGTAGTCGCATTACCGTAATCGCATTACCCTACACATCACAAGCGCATTGCCATACAAACTTAAATTCCAATGCGTATTGTAGCCCAACTGCCATGCTCACAACCCGTTGCAGTGAGAGTTTGCATTGTGATGCGCATGCGTTGAGAGTGAAACCTCCGCGTGTATGTGTATTGCAAACCCACTTGCTGGGATTGGAGTCCTTCGCTAGCACGCGAATCACGCACGGCGCCTGTGTGTGTCAGAGAGCCTGCAGTGCAGCGCTGTGAGTGAGTTTGTTCTCAGCAGGGAGCACTAAGAAGCAACAGGCTTCCCCCCTGCTGCTGCCTGCCCCCCACAGTCCGCGCGAGAACGTCGGGTCCCAGGCGTCAGGAGACTCCTGAGCAGGTGACGGCAACACGGGGAGACGCACAAGGGAGTGGGGGGGTAGAGACACAGGGCACACACACACAGGGAGACACACTACGAGACATAGAGGGCCAAGTGTGACAGGGTGACACGGGGAGACATGGAGACACACTACGAGACATAGAGGGCCAAGTGAGACAGGGTGACACGGGGAGACATGGAGACACACTACGAGACATAGAGGGCCAAGTGAGACAGGGTGGCACGGGGAGACATGGAGACACACTACGAGACTTAGAGGGTCAAGTGAGACAGGGTGACACGGGGAGACATGGAGACACACTACGAAACTTAGAGGGTCAAGTGAGACAGGGTGACACGGGGAGACATGGAGACACACTACGAGACTTAGAGGGCCAAGTGTGACAGGGTGACACGGGGAGACATGGAGACACACTACGAGACTTAGAGGGTCAAGTGAGACAGGGTGACACGGGGAGACATGGAGACACACTACGAGACTTAGAGGGTCAAGTGAGACAGGGTGACACGGGGAGACATGGAGACACTACGAGACTTAGAGGGTCAAGTGAGACAGGGTGACACGGGGAGACATGGAGACACACTACGAGACTTAGAGGGCCAAGTGAGACAGGGTGACACGGGGAGACATGGAGACACACTACGAGACTTAGAGGGTCAAGTGAGACAGGGTGACACGGGGAGACATGGAGACACACTACGAGACTTGGAGGGTCAAGTGAGACAGGGTGACACGGGGAGACATGGAGACACACTACGAGACTTAGAGGGTCAAGTGAGACAGGGTGACACGGCGAGACATGGAGACACACTACGAGACTTAGAGGGTCAAGTGAGACAGGGTGACACGGGGAGACATGGAGACACACTACGAGACAGGGAAACACCGCGAGGCACTGGGAGACACGGGGGGGGGAGCACACTGACACACAGGGACCCAGGTTGATTGAACGGCTCACTGAATTAGACCCGTAGCTATAACCATGGGAGGGAAACTTTATGACACAGTGAACATCATATCTGCAACCCTATTATCCACTAGTGTTGTCGATTTTGCCATTCAATTTGCTGAAACATATTTTGTCCGTAATGGAGTCTTCCTATAATTATCGGTTTTAATAGGTGGACAGTAAGGGGAGTCATGCAGACATTAGGAGTTATTTTAATGGATTAGCACATAATAGGAACCACCAGGAGCTTAACTGTACAGTACTCTAATCAGGATGAACCTTGACGTGTCGTATCACATTTGCAAAGTGGCAGCAATTCATCAGTTCCGAATAAAATAATTAACATCTGCAGACATATCTAATGGATATTACACTGCAAAGTACCGTAATGTAATAAATCGCTTGAGGCACGATGAGGGTCAAAGGCACTGGGACCACTAGGGATGTGTAACGACACGCCGCCTCCATGCTTGACGATCACGGTTTCATTCACGGGTCGTATTTTGCCCCTGTGGTGGTGGAGCGATATACTGGGTCGTCCAGATGTCTTGTGACACCCAATTTATTGTTTTTTAATAAACGTTACGTAAAAAGAATATTACGTTTTAGAGAATTAAATGGGGGCGGGATAACAAGACATCTGGACCACCCTGCACAGTGGTGTAAATATATCCACCGTCTAGTGAGTGGTTCCAAGTGTCTGAACTAATCTAGTTCAGTGTCTCAACATAAAGCAGTGGTGACTGGTCTGAGACAACCTGCTACACTTGGCAGGCAATGTCAACATCACGGATGCAAAGCTGTCAACCCATACTGTTTACCTGTATTCTTGTACGGGCAACATTTTTTTTTGTCTTTGTTTCTCCGTTGTGATGGAACTTTGTGGAATGAACGTTGAGATGTATAAGGGCACGGAGTGACCAATGAGGTCTGAATTGGTCTGTAATAATGTAGGGCATTGATAGGGTGTTAACAAGTATGTGGATGTATGCGTTTTGATGGGGTTTTTTCGCGAATAAGATCAATAAAATTTAAGTTTATATATTTTTTAAAATGGCCAGAACATTTAGGAGGCCTACATCCAGCAGTGGATCATCGACCGTTGCTGATGATGTAAAACAGTTTCCAAGCAGTTCTTCAAATGATTGGAACTTCTTGTTGGGATGAAGAAGTGAATTGGAAACATATGATCAGACAGCCTAGCAGAGGCATTTTAGTTTTACAGCCTCCTACAGCTGGACTCACATCTTCGTGATTTTACAAACATTTGCGTATATAAAGAAATTTGAAATACGCTTGGGCCTGTTGATCGTTTGGTGTGAATCCTATACAAACGGCCACAAAGAAAACAACTCGAATTCCTTATGGCATCTTTGTAAGCAGAGCACTGTATAGTGAACACTTAAAATCTGTTTCAAAAGCCTATAAATGCTTATCCTGACCAGTTGGAAAAGGTCTGTGTTTGCAAATGCACAATTATCCTTTTATAATTATCGTAGTTTTACAAATCCTCACGCACGTGGTCTTTAAGAAAGGCTGCTCTGCGTCGGCTTTGCCGCTCTCAGCCACCACAAATCACTGAGCAGCGTGCGCACGGTCTCCTGTGCACAATGCTGGTTGGACAAGTTTAGTGGGAACTAGCCGAGACACAGCTACGTGCACTGCTGCAGTGCACACGCTTGTGGGAACTTGCGGTTGGACCGCTGTGAGTGCGTGTGTGTACATCCCGTGCACTCTGTTCCTTTTATGTTGTTGTAACGTTCACTCTGTTGTAACGTTTTGACCCCGTGCCTCTACTGAACATCTGTGAAAAAAAAAGCTTTATAAGCTCATCAGATTCCTCCAGTTTAAATACATGTTCTGATTCTGATTGTTTCTGTAAGTAGCAGCAAAGGCCAGCTGTGCGAGCGCTGGTGCTGCTTGCGCGTGGGTGTCACGCTCGCAGCCCCGCGGGGGCGCAGTCGCGGCGGCGGTGACGGCGATGGACGCGCACGCGGGGCCCTGGCTCTTCTCGGCACTCGACGACGGCAGCGGCAGCGTGTCGTGCGAGCGCATGCTCGAGTTCTGGCACCGCGAAGGCATCACGGACGCTGGCGCCATCCTGCAGGCAAGCGTCCACGTACGCACGGGCACATTGGTATGCATAGATCGATAGAGCTGATTGCACCCTATCCAATTAACCATGCGAGATTGAGGCACTTGCCAAGGGGGCCCGAGCAAGGTGGTTTCTCTGGGAAGAGTCGTTTGCGTTATTTGGGTCATTCCACATTCACTCAACCGAAATCCGGGGAGATTGCCACCTCAACTTTTAGATTTTGTCTATATTGTTTCAGTTGGAAGATGTGGATCAGGTATGAAACCTACAGGAAAGATACATGTTGACCTTCCAAATTAAGATTTTAAAGCAACACCTGCTCACAGATTACTATGGTCAGTCCAAATAATTCTTAACAACACAGCAATTGAAATTAGACAATGAATCTGCTGCCTCTGAAAAAGCAGAATCAGTAATAGGCATGTTGACCCCTACACTATTTTACTGCCCAGCTTATAAATAAAAGTCTGTCCTGTTTGTGACTATGGCTACAAACACCAACCCATGGAGCACATACGTTCGCATTGCTCCAATATGAACGTAGATTATCTGCAGTTCATCAACTCTCAGAGAAAGTAATTAAATGGATAAATCGCTTACAACTGAATTCTCTAATAGCTAGTTGCTCTTCATTGGCCTTGCAAAATCATCATTATCACCGCCCAGCTTAATTCTGCAACAAATACGACCGTAACATCCGATGTGCTTCCCGAACCCGGAGAACTCCCGAGTGAGTTTCCCGCTCGTTGACAGTGCTGTGCGCAGAGAAGAAGGGTAGTGGCCTCCTGGCGGCTGCTCTTAGTGAGGATCTCAAAAGTGTACTTTCTCCTCCTGCTCAGCATGGCTTTCCATCCAGATTCTCCAGATTCCTCCCATAGCTAAAGAAAAACATTATTTCAACTGTTACTGGCCAAACATCTCAGTGCTGACAATGTACCTGCAAAAAAAATTCTGATTACACATAGTAACTCTTGAACGCAATGCACCTAGAGCGTGCCCCTTCCCTGCCTGTCTGCCTGCTGGCTGATGTGCGTGTGCGCGTGTGGTTGCGTGCAGGCGTTGGGGCTGGACTGCCGCGCCACCGTGTCCCTGGACGAGCTGTGCCGGCTTGTGGATGAGCAGCTGCCGTGCGCGGGGGGCTATGCGGCCCAGGCGCTGCTCGTGGCCTGCAAGCACGAGGTGGCTCAGCTCAGGTCGGTCGCTGTCAACATCTAAGTCTGGCCAAATCTGTTTCATTTGAAACCTTTCACCACCCGACCCAGCCAAACTAATTGTTACCCGTGCAAGCTTTTAACACGCCAATTATTTTATTCATTCAGCTCACCGGTGAGTTTAAGAACAATCCTAAAAACCAGATTTAGCATTTAGGTATGATGACACCAGGACAATGCCTATGAAATCCAGAAAGTCAGTTGCTCTGTCATTCTAGATCTTGTCCTGATAATTATTAACAATGATTGATAATTAAATTGATTGCATAATTTGTTTGTGAAGATTGTTCTTCGACTCACCAGTGAGCTGAAACATTTAAATAATTGGCTCGTTAAATGCTTATGCACGTGACAATTACGTTTGTTAGGCTGGGTCGGGTGGTGAAGGGTTTCTTACGAGACAGATTTGGTCAGATCAGCTGGGTATAACGGCAGTGGAAAAACATACTCGTGCCGTGCAGGCCCCGTGCTGGCTCGGCACGGATGTGCCAGTGGAAAAGGGCACGGGAGGCATTCACACCAAGTGGTGGCGGGTGCTGGTGTGGGTCCCGCGCAGGTCGTGGTTGGGGGAGCTGGGCGCCGAACGCGACTCGCTCAGGGCAAGCCTGCGCAGCGCGCGGCTCCACGCGGAGCAGCTGGCACGCGACGCTGATGAGCAGGTGGCCAGCGCAAACGCTCACCACCACGCAGATCTCAGGTCAGCATGCCAGCGCGTCCCCCCCCCCCCCGCGCTCACAGCCGGCAGCACTGCATTTAAGTCGCGAAGTGGGACGTAGCCTGCTCACCACTTGGTATACTCACAATTCTCTGGCGAGATCCGACCGTGTCTGTCCAGTGCTCGCCAAGCTGCGTTGGCTTCCGGTTGCCGAACGAATACGTTGTTATAAGGTCGCACTCATTACACACAGAGTGCTTGCCACAAATGAACCACAATACTTTCCTGATCTCGTCAAGGAGCATAAAACATCACGCAACCTCCGGTCATCCTCAGAGTAGCAGCTTTTGGCTCGGTTATAGCATTGCACGCTTTCAGTTGCACTTCTGCGGCCGTCTGGAACGCTCTTCCTTCCGATATTAGGAAGCCACTGGAGATATGCACTTTTAAATCATCTAGATTGACAAACTCATTTCTTTATAACTGCTTTTTGTGGTTAGTTTGTTGTCCTTCACCGCACCTCCTATTCGCGCAGTTGGCTATGTACGGTGCGAAATAAGTTCAACATACATACGCACATGAGTCACCATTGAGGGAAGTTCAGCTCACTGGATGAGTGGCATTGGGTGCTCAATATCGGCACTCTGCATGCTATGGGCTGGGTTTAAATCAATGCTCATGTCCATCCTAGGTGTTATACTATCACATCCTTGTTTGTCCATTGAAAAAGTCGGGTGGGCAGTAACATGTAAAGGCAGCGAGAATACCTTTCATGCTCAATGTGGTTTGTTTGTACTCCACGATTTTTAAATTGATTACTGACTTTGGTAAGGCAACTGATGGTGATATAGGTCCACTATTTACCATCCTACAATACCTTAAGATAACTTTTGATTTATATTTAATTTTCATTATATTAGTATGCTTTGTGAAAAAAACAGTTGATAAAATCTGTTTTTCTTCATAACAGTATCTTTTTTTTTACTTTAAATGTGGGTTTTCTTAGCCAATACAATGATTATTTATATTTTTAGGTTTTAAACCACGGGTGAGGACCTTTTTTGGTCAGAATTTCATGAACACATATGAATAACGTGACGACATCAGAGATTGGTGCCAGAAATATGTGGCACTACTTGAACATATTGGCAGAAGACAGAGGAGAGTGGAAACAAATGACGAAATGTGCAGTGGACACCTACTGGCTATCTGCCCATGGATCGTGATGATGATAATGACGAACGTGCAAATCGTGTCGGGTGGTGGAGGGCCAACGACAATATTTTTTACACAAAACTACCACGTGGCCTAATCCAACAAATACGGATCGTCGCGTTGGCTACGGACAGCAACGTGTTGAAGTTAATAGGACGCAGTGTTGCCAACGCAGTGGCTGGTGTATCGAGCGGGGCGAGGAAGCCGGCGTTCTACGCGCAGACACGGGGTGGCTGTTGTGGAACGCGTCGTCCGTGAAGCGGGGCTGCCGTCGGAGAGGCTCCTCATCTTCCGCGTGCGTCTCCCCGTGGCAGGCGGCTGGAGCAGGCGCAGGCGGAGGCGCTGGCGACGCTGCGCTCAGAGCGCGAGCGCGAGCTGGAGCGCTCCGAGCGGGAGGAGCGCGCTTGGCAGGCGGAGTTGGGGCGCCTGCATGCCGAGCGCAGGCAGCTGCGCAGCGAGGTGGAGCTGGCGTACGCGGTGAGGCCGGCGCGTCCCCCACGGCACTAAGGCCCCGCATAGCCCCGGGCTGGTATACAGGATGGTCGTGGGTTCGATCCCGACCCTGACACCTGCTGTGTATTTGGAGTTTGCATCTCTTTCCCTCTCTCCCTATGGTTGCGTGGATGATTCTCTTGAGTCCCCTGGTTTTACCTCCATTTTTAGAATCAACATCACGCGTTTAGAGTATTTGGCTGCTGTACATTTCCACGTGATAAGCCGCTTCATTGAGCTATCATTTCATTTATGGCCAGGTCGCTTCTGAAAAAGAGCTGTATAGCTCAGGGGGCCTTACCTGGTTAAATAACAAAAACATTGTTTAAATAGTCTGGCACGGCGCAGTGTCCGCCTGTGACCCCAGAGACGTCCCTGTGCCCCAGCTGCCTCGAGCAGTGCGTGGAGACCCTCTGGCACGATGCTCCCAAGCTGTTAAAATCCATTTTGTTGAATTTCCAGTAACCACGTCAGAATATTTTTTTTTACTTTGTATGAAATTCTGCTTTCCAAGCGGTGTGGATTTGACTGCCTGCCACAGGAGATACGATGAGTTCAGTCGACTTTAGCAAGAGATTTGGACTTCCCACACTTGCGGGTTCATGAAGGTCCCTGCAATCCGATGATAGGCACCAGTCTCTTCAAACGGCAAGCCATTCTTAAAATTATCACAAAGTGGTACTCACATTATCGACCCCAAAGGCTGGGCCTCAGGTGCAGAGCGTCCTACACACCTTTTAGAATGTACCACAGCAACGCCCTTGTGTGCATGCCAGAATGGGCTAGTGCTGGCACGCAAGTCAGTAGTAACAGTAACAGGAGGTTTTCACATCCGACGGCATGGTTCATAATTGATGTTTTGGGTTCGGCAACGTAATGATCTGACCCAATTTGTGCCATTAAGGAGCCTCCACAATGAATAGTCACGTGTACAAGTGTTTAACAACGCGCTGATTATTATTATTGTTGTATTGGGTCACCGGTGAGTTGAAGCACAGTTCTCGCAACATACCGAGAAAATATATGCGTAATAATTGGCAAGTCGTAACGCTCGTTCACATGCCAATTTATTTGTTTGGCTGTGTTGGGAGGTAGTGAAGAGTTTTCTAGCGACACAGATTTGGTCAGATCATTACGCGGCCTAACCCAAAAGTCTATTGCGAAATGTAGTCCATCGTTTACCCAGCAGAGCCTCACTGAGTGTCCTACTTTGTCCCCTACTTTGGGACGTGCGGAACAGCGGTGTTCCCGGCTGGAGACGGAGCTCGCAGATGCTGGAGCTCAGTGCGCCGTTGGCCAGCGCGGGGTGTGCGACCCAGGCCTCGGGGAGCCGGAGCCAGGGGGGAGCGCCCGGCCCTCTCTTCCCATCGTACGACCGGGGGAGGTCACGCGGCTCAGCCGGCAGTCGCTCAACAAAACCAGTGAGCGCCGTCATTCATCCACTGTTACGTTTTCTCTCTTCTCTTTCTCCTGCTCAGTGTCTGTTGTCCCGATTGTGCCACCATCGGCGTGAGACGAACCATCCATTCTGATCTCTCACAGAGCAGTCCGGTCCACTGGGATGTTTGGCCAATGCCAGTTCCGGTGTACGGTTCTTTTTAGCTGTGGGAGGAAATTGGAGAACCTGTAGGAAATCAATGTAGGTAAACTAACCTGTAAATGCATTGATTTGATTCCACAGATTACTGCAAATCGGAGTGTAAAGCAACAGAGTCTCAAGAAAATGGCGTTGAGGTATGCGGCAATAAAACCGGTCAAAGTGATGAGCCAGCCGACAAGAGACCGAGCTGGCAAACCAGCGAGCACATCCATAATAATAATAACAACAAAACATGCCAACAAGGGATTGAGCAATGTGGTACAAAACCAGCACGCCGTTCAGAACAACTGTCTAGGGAACAATTCGGTAAGGTTTCCAGCGAGCATTGCAAGGACGAGGTCAGAGAGAAATGTGACAAATTAACCAAAGTGCGTGTTTATAATCCATCCAGTGGACAAGTCAGTAAGCTCGCCAGCGCACAATCTAATGAACAGACCAGAGACCATATTGATAAACTAAGCCTTAAACACAACGTCAAGGAAACCAAAGAGTATTATAGACAAGTGAGAGAGCAAACTATCATCCAATACAGGGAACAAACTAACATTGAAGCCAGCAAGCCAGTTCTAGCACCCACCAATGAACAAGCCAATGGACAATGCAGTGAACAGTTTACTGAGATAGTCACTGAACTAAACGGAAAGACAGCTACAGAGCCGTGTACTGAACAACACAGCGAAAAGCTCCCTGAATTGGTCAGCAAGGAGTCCGCGCATCTTGCACCCGACAAACAAACCGTCGAGCTGACGAGCACACAAACCACAAAACCAGGGAGTGAAGAATCTATGGTGAAAACAAAATTGGGAACAGACACATCAGCCAGTGAATGTTCCGCTGGGCACAATGGCGAGCAGACCAGCAGGCAGACAAAACAGCAGTGCAGTGAGACGTGTAATAAAAGCGGCGAAGGACTGGGCGAGAGAGCGTGTCGACAGAGAATGACGGCGCAATCCAGTGGAGCACCTTGCGAGAAGAGGAGCGGTGGAGAATTAAGCGTTTGTGAACGGTCGCGGAAGTTCGGCAGCCCATCCATAAATTCAGACGCCAAAGGGAATTTTACGGCAGCACCTCAGCGCCCCAATCCTTGGTCGCGCGCCGCGGGCCTCGGGGCGGCCGCTCTGGGGGCCGCGCTGGACGAAGCCGTGGCTCTGCTGCAGCGACTCGAGGCGCTAGCCCTGCAGCTGCTGAGCGCTTGCTGCCCCCAGGGCACACTGCTGCTGCGCGTGCTCTGGAGCGGCCTGTACTCGCACGCCGAGTGGTTCGCTCCACCTCTGAGCTGGCTCTACCAGGAGCTGGCTCGCGCCCGGCAGCTGCTCACGACCGCACGGCGCCAGCACCGCTCCCTCTCGACCCTGGTCCTCGCCGCTCCGTGCGACGCGAGGGGCTCCCCGGAGCGTCCGCCCGCGTCTCGCTCGGCTGAGCGTGCTGTGGCGCTCTCTGGGCGGTCGTAGGCAGAGGGCGGTTCGCCAACGCCGAGGACCCGCGACGTCCGTAGAATTTCAAACTGCGCACAAATACGCCTTCACGCAAAAAAACTTGAAATGGGGACTCGTTGCAAGCGTCTTGCGTTCGTTCCACTTCAGCAGCGTCTGCTATTTAAATGACAGATGTGCGCATTTGATCCGAGATAGCACTATGACTAATAAATTAAGTTACTTCTGAGCGGTAAATTATTAAAATAGGCATTTATTTGGTCCATAGGCTGTATTCGTGGTGGCTCAATGGTCCAAATGACGGTTAGGTCAAATGTTAAATCCTCCACAGGAATCGCTCGCACTTCGCCATTCCCTGTGGAGAAAGATGATGCTGCTGCCATTCTCTGGTACTGTCATTCAATAAAAACGTTCAGAATGCAATCTTAATAAATATGACTTGAATAGACATGTTAAACACATGTCACGGATTATACAAAATCGGCGTTGACTTCCTTTGTTTAAGCACTGTTGAGACTTAAGTTGAATGTTTTAATAGGCAAACCTTAAGTCGAATGAATATATCACAGGGGCTTGTTACATTGCACCACTGGCTGTTTACCTGCCTATTGCAGAATGTTGGGTATTTATGCGGTTGTTACATTTTATGCTGTATAAGAACATTTCCCAGACGTTCTACATTAAACACTTTTAAATGTATTTTACATCACTCGTTCATTGTGTGCTCGTTGAATTGATGCGTATTGTTGTATCTGTGTGTTGCATCTTTACACAGAACATTAAACTGCACGTGATAATAAGACCAATGTATTGAAGTCTCGATATGGCAATTGCCAAATCAAACGGCCGTCTCCAATGTGTTAAAACGAAATGTGCAAGTATGTGTGCATGGATGAATAAATAATTATTCCCGTGGGCTTCAATCATTTATGAACAATGTAAACCAAAGACTACTAATTTGTGTTTGGTTCAGCCTCAATTATCTGACCAAATCTGTGCCGTTCTGAAGTCTCAACCAAATGCAAGCTAAACACGAATTTGTCACGTGTACAAGCGTTTATATGAGCAATAATTTAACAAATAGTGTAATCATTCAACAATTATTGTTGCTCGTATTTTTTTTTTACATTTGACTTTCTGGATTGTTCTTCAACTTACCCGTGAGCCGATACGAGTCAAAGTGGGGGTCGTGGGAATATGAAGAGCGATCTTCGCGCCCTGGCGAGGGCAGGCAGGCGAAGGAAGTGAGTGGAACCCTTGGGGGTGAAACCAACTCGCCTCGCCTCCTCGAACCTCGCTGCCTTGACTGGATCCACCATTCTACCGTTGTGCTTGAGTGCGTGCTAGCCCTTCAAATAAAGAGTTTTGTTCGGACATTAGCGGGGCACGCAGTTTCTTCCGAAAGTGCTCTAACGGGTAGAGATGTACACGTCCTTCGCACGTGTGTGGAATGAGTTGAATGAGCACTTCTCATTCGAATACAAGCAGGGATGTGTTTTATTTGAACAAGTTCGAGTTATGTAGCCTCCTGAATAGAAACCACTGTGAATGAGGAGAGCCGGGAAACAAAGACACCTGCAATATATGAACAATGATTCTGTAATAGTTGCTCATTTCAAGTTACGTTCGTCTCTGGCACAACGCTTCCCTTATCCACTGTACATTTTTTTAAAGCGTCAAATACTTTTAATAGATTTAAAGCGACCAGTGTGAAAGGCACGGCCGCTAAGCCCTTTCGAGGACAGTACGTAAGACGTTTAAGACTGCTGTTGTGCGCCGCCGCCGCCGCAGCAACAACAGTCGTGGACACGCGTGACATCGCGAGGGGGCTCTTCGTGTGAGTGCCCCGCAGCCCGAGGTGTTCTCACGCGTTTGTAAAGTTCAAGCCCCGCGGCTCCACGTTTACAGCCGCCGTGTCGGGCTCGCTCGCTCGCTCGTCCCGTCCGGCCCCACGGGTTGCGATCGCCTGTGCGCGGCTGCATCGTGACGCGCAGTCGTCGTGGACGATGTAATCATCTTGATTTGAAGCTTTCGTGACTGCAGGAATCCATACTCTTTGGTTATTTCGGTAAGGTCACGTAGGTGGAACAATAAAACAAAGTAATATATCACGACGTTTCGATCGCAACACAAGCGGTCGTCCTCAGGCGGAACACATAATCCAGCAGTCCACACGGACGACCGCTTGTGTTGCGATCGAAACGTGATAGATTATTTTTTATTTCGTTTTATTTTTCCGAAAGAACCAAAGAGTGAGGGTGTAATATGTGGCCACATCGCACCTGGCAGGGTTCTGTTACCGCAGCGAGTCGGCCAACCACATTCAATGTACACGTTGCACAATATCTTATCGTAACGTTATTCATATAGCGCCTTTAAAGCAAGGCGCTTTTACAGAGAATTAAAACCGTACAAAGTTTTGATGCAATGGTGGAGACGAGGTGAATGAAATCGATGAGAGGAAGCAATGGGAGCACGTCTGTGATGCGTGACTTCGGTGAACGCGAAATGAATGAGAGTAGATGATGATGAATAGTTTGAATGAGTGGAGTTATTGAGTGACAGCCGTATAATGAGACTATGAAGAGGGAACGGTTACGGTGGTGGTTACGAGGGGGGCATTAAGGGGGTCGTGGGATGAGCTCGGGACCATAAAGGGAGTTTTGAGTGAGGAGCGGAAAGTAGCGAGCGAAGGCGACTGCTGAATGCGGAGGGGAAGTTTGTTCCAGTCAAGGGGGGCAGGAAGAGAGAGAGAGCAAAAGCGTGGATTGAACACAAGGAGGAAGAGGAACAGAGAGATACAGTAAATATCAACTTGAAATACTTTCTAAAATCCACTCTAATTTCCAATGAGATGAATGGGCAGTTATCGATTTTATGACGCATGGGACGCTTGTTCAATGTCACTGGAAAGTAGTCCTTAAACCAAGAGTTCCTGAACTCTGGGGTGACGGCAGGGAGGCCTGGAACGAAGGTTTGGAGGCAATGTCATCTTGCCCTGGGCCCCTCGCGCTTTGCATGGAACCTCACCCAGTACTCCTGGAGTTTTTTTGTGTGTGGGTAATATATCACCCTCCATTGCGCATTGCTGCATAAACATAATACACATTTTAGTCTGTTGTCGTGTCGGCCTTCCAGGTTTGCGTTGAACAGTAGGATCTCTTTAAACACAGAATTCCTTGAGTGGTTTCACTCTTCTGGGGCTCATCAGCAAGTGAGGTCTGTGCAGGGTTTGCTTGATGATCTGCTGGGTTGTGCTGTGACTGTCCCAGATTGTTCCAGAAGCTCTGAGCTGTCACAGCGTCCTGCTGCTTCCCAGCGTCAATCTCGACTAGGAGAGGACTTATTTGGCACATTTATTGCAGCAGCGATGTGCAGTGGTGATTCGCGGTACTGCGGTTTGGTCAGTGCTGCAATTTAAAATGTACTAAATGCAAGGTCGTGAATAGTGGTGGCACTGTAGTTAGTGGCAAGTGTAAAAACTACATTCGCATGGTATATATTTACTGTGTGGTGAAGTTATTTCGCACCGTACTGAGACAACCGTGCTCACCGGAGCTGCGGAGGAAGGACAACAAATTAAACAAAAAGTAGTTCTAAAGAAATGCGTTTTCAATCGAGATGATTGAAAAGTCCATGGCTCCAGTTGCTTCCTAATGTCGGAAGGAAGAGCGTTCCAGACGGCCGCAGAAGCGCATCTGAAAGCGCCGCGCGATGCGGTGACCGCCGTCTTTGTGCGATGTCTAGAAGGCCTTCATCGAGCAGGTTGTCAGGGCTGCGCGTGTTTTTGGTATAATTTGCAACAACCCCCATGGTGTAGAGTTATGTGTTCCCATGGAACCATGGTTATTCAGATCTTGGCTCGAGGCAATCTCAATGGGCTCCCGCCTCGTTAAAGGCCATCGATTAAGGAGCTTTGCCTTTGATTTCGCACGCGTGTGTGCATGATTGAGAATCCACCTCCAGCAGTGTTCGTTATTGCTAGGCCCCGTGGGCCACTGGCGACCCCTGGTGGCCTTTAGTGCCCCCCCCCCCCACACACTAAAGTGAGAGTGAAGAACACTGTCCTTACAGCGGCAAAAATAATTGTGAACTTCAATTCCACATTGGAAAATGCCAGCCTTTCACGGAGCGCATTGCGCGACGTGACACAGTGTCGTTAAGGGGGAAGGGAAGTAAAGGAGGAGGATTTGGAGGAGAGGTGGAGTGAAGGAGGAACAAGGGCGGGGTGGGGGGGGCGACGCTCCGGGCCGGTGCGTAATTCCCACTGCCCCTTGGCAGCGCGGAGCTCTGCTGAGATTTGGCCTCCGCTCTCCCCCCTCCGCCCGCCTTCTTTCGCGACGCCACTCAGCCGGGGAGAACAAGTGCCACGGACGTGTCGCTGCGTCGCGCGCTCTCAGGTGCGCTCCTGCGGCCGTCTGGAACGCTCTTCCGAGATTAGGACGCCACCGGAGCTGTGCACTTTTAAATAATCTCGATTGACAAACTCATTCTGTTAGAACCGCTTTTTGTGCGTGTAGTTTGTTGTCCAGGAGGGGCCGAGTGAGACGGAGATAACGAGCCTGCCCTCCAGACCGACGGGCGATCCTGCTGCTGCTGCTGCTCCTGCTGCTGCGGCTGCTGCTACAAGGTGTGGCACTGCCGGGGTTGAGGGGAGGGGACGTCTCTTCATCCGCCGTGCCACTTTAGACGGCGAGGCGCCTCCGCGATGGACCGCGGGACGTATTGCGTGGAAGGCAAAGCAATTCCTCGAGCTCAGGAGGCAGTCAACAGGCAAGGGATACACTTGTGTAATTACTCTCTTTCCGTAATCAGCGGTGGAAGTGTTGAACTGCCGGTTTGAAACCGATTCGTCCTGCAGCCCACGTTCACTGAGACAGTTTCGATGGACCCAGGCTGACGGAGACACATGCCCCGGGTTGGGTCTGCGGAAACAGTGGCAGCCCTCGTCAATACCCCTCCGGGTTGGCATCCGAGACGAGCGCGCAATTTTACCGTTTCAATTTGTCAAATAATTGGAGCGTTTGGACCGCGGCCTATAATGCCATCAAGACCTGATAATATATTCCTGCATGAAGGTGTCTTCAACGACAGGAGCTTAGGGCAATCCCGGGCATGCTTTGCCACAACCCTAGCTCACTTGAGCATGTTGGCCATCACAGGGATGTGTGTGCAGAACATTTTCAAGCGTGGCAATGTCACCTTGAAGGTGAGCGATCGTATTCTCCCAGGATTTCTTCTTTCTTTCCTGTCGGGGGATGGTGGCGTGATGATGACGATGTGACGATGAGGAGTTAGACCAGGACTCAGCAAACAAAACAACAAAAGCGATTTTTGTTCGAATTCGGTAAAAGAAAACGACTCAATCTTTCAAGTGTCGCAATGCCATGTTGTGAATGCGAGATGACGGCGATCCTAAATAAATAACGTCGTGAAGCAGCAGTCCTTAAAGAGCCGCATGCTCTTTAAACTGAACCTCCATGGTAAACTGGACCTCCATGGTAAACTAGACTCCCATGGTAGCAAATGTTATAAAGGGGCCCTAAATAAAATAAAAACATGTAGATATAAAAACACACAAATATTTAATTACATAGTAGAGTAATTGTATTTTTTCATTTGCTATACAGTCGGACAATACGACAAATCGCTAACCTTAAACACCCAGTCGTTCATAAAAGTTGAAGGCGGTATAGTACTATGGTAATAGAGCAAGTGCAGAATCACTGAACCGGAATTGATCGCTTGAAAGCGTTTAGCGCGTGGCCCTTGAAAGTGCGGGGCCCGTAGCTACATTTGTAGCGACTTGTGCTGCTGGGATAATCCGGCACTGCTTGATAAGAAGCGGCATAAATGCAGTGCTGTACCTGAACATGTATTATGCATCAGAAATGACGTTCATGTGAACCTTATGGCGGGACACGGGGGTCCCGAATAAACGGAAGTCAAAATCGTAATTTATTTTTTAAAAAATTTGGCGACTCCGTCCCACCGCGCACACAAACGCCGTGACCCACCACAAAATCAATCCTCTAGTTCTTCACCAAGCGCCCGTCGTTGCCAAAATTGCCGTAGTCACAAACAAAACTTTTAAACTTTGATTATCGCGTCGTGTAGAGCTCGTCTAGAGGAATAGCTCGCCGCGTCGTTCGCCTTCAACAGACGTACAATGACTCCGCAACGGAGTCTATGCGAGAGCCGGGGGGAGGGGGGCTAATGGCACCCCGGGGTCCCGCCTTGAGATTTATTTGTCGAAGGAAATATAACTTCAGTTGAAAGGCCTCTAAAGTATATACTCATAATAATAATCATTCACAACCGGGTCACCGTATTTGCCACTGGAAACCACGCGTCCGTGCCCAGGGCCCCCTCTTGGTGTGCCCACTTCTGTGTGAGGGAGTCCCCCCCCCCACACGCTGTGTGGGCCAGAGGGGTCGCTTGACCATACTTCACCATGCCGGTCAGCGAAGTGATGGGCGGGACGGGACGGTTCAGACATCACTCGCCACTGATGACAGCCGTGGCTGGCAATCAAACTCGGATTGTGACATTCCGGTGAATGTGTTTGTATTTTTCGATTTAAAGCTTTCGTGACTGCGGGGATTCGTCTTTTTGGTTATTTCGGTAAAGTCACCACGTAGACTTAACCGAAAGAACCAAGAAGATGTGTTTGTAGTTGTGATTAACGTCGTGAGTAAGATAAGCCTGGATTTGAAGATAGATCAAAGTTTAACGTCTAACAATGAATGTGAGAGGCGGCTCGCGGTGGCTCAGGGGTCATAACACGCAGATGAGGTGTGTGTGTGACGATGAGGTGTGTGTGTGACGATGAGGTGTGTGTGTGTGACGATGAGGTGTGTGTGTGAGTGACGATGAGGAGTGTGTGTGACGGTGAGGTGTGTGTGTGTGACGATGAGGTGTGTGTGTGTGACGATGAGGAGTGTGTGTGTGTGTGACGATGAGGTGTGTGTGTGTGACGATGAGGTGTGTGTGTGTGTGACGATGAGGAGTGTGTGTGTGTGACGATGAGGAGTGTGTGTGGAGTCTGCGTGGAGGAGGCACACCATGTCCGAGCTATTTGCGGGACGACTGCTGCTGTGCGCGGGTGACGAAGCGGACGACGGCGTCCACCTCGCGTGCCGCGAGGTGGACGCCGAGGCGGCGCTGCGGAACCGCGTGGTCGCCCTCCACTTCGCGGCGCTGCGCTGCCCGTCCTGCCGCGACTTCGCGCCGGCGCTCGCCGCCTTCTGCGAGTCGCTGACGCGGCACCGCCCGCCCGCACCGTTGGTGCTCGTCCTCGTCTCGGCGGACGACAGCGAGGTGGACATGAGGGCCGCGGTGAGCGGTGGACACCGCGACTGGCTCGCGGTGCCCTGGGACGACCCGCTCCGCCTGTGAGTCTCGACCCCTTGCCGAACCCCACCCCCCTTCCACACACACACCGCGGAATGCACCGGCGACCATACACGGGGACTGCTCTGCTGACGAACATTCGACTTACGAACTTGCAGAGGTACGAACAGACCTGGTCGCGTATGCGACTCTCGGTACGAACAGTCGCAGCCTGTTCGTACCGAGAGTCGTAAGTTCAGCCGCCGCGCAATAGATGGCGGTGGTGGCATCTACATCTACAGAACGTGAAGAACCAGTGGCATCTACATCTGCAGAACGTGAAGAACCAGTGGCATCTACATCTGCAGAACGTGAAGAACCAGTGGCATCTACATCTACAGAACGTGAAGAACCTGTGGCATATACATCTGCAGAACATGAAGAACCAGTGGCATCTTCATCTACACAACGTGAAGAACCAGTGGCATCTACATCTACACAACATGAAGAACCAGTGGCATCTACATCTGTAGAACATGAAGAACCAGTGGCATCTACATCTACAGAACGTGAAGAACCAGTGGCATCTACATCTACATCTACACAACATGAAGAACCAGTGGCATCTACATCTGTAGAACATGAAGAACCAGTGGCATCTATATCTACAGAACGTGAAGAACCAGTGGCATCTACATCTACACAACATGAAGAACCAGTGGCATCTACATCTGTAGAACGTGAAGAACCAGTGGCATCTACATCTACAGAACATGAAGAACCAGTGGCATCTACATCTGCAGAACGTGAAGAACCAGTGCCATCTACATCTGCAGAACGTGAAGAACCAGTGGCATCTACATCTGCAGAACGTGAAGAACCAGTGGCATATACATCTGCAGAACGTGAAGAACCAGTGGCATCTACATCTGTAGAACGTAAAGAACCAGTGGTATCTACATCTGCAGAACGTGAAGAACCAGTGGCATCAACATCTGCAGAACGTCAAGAACCAGTGGCATCTACAGAACGTGAAGAACCAGTGGCATCTACATCTGCAGAACGTGAAGAACCAGTGGCATCTACATCTGCAGAACGTGAAGAACAGTGGCATCTACATCTGCAGAACGTGAAGAACCAGTGGTTTCTACATCTGCAGAACGTAAAGAACCAGTGGCATCTACATCTGCAGAACGTCAAAAACCAGTGGCATCTACATCTATAGAACGTGACGAACCAGTGGCATCTACATCTGCAGAACGTGAAGAACCAGTGGTATCTACATCTGCAGAACGTGAAGAACCAGTGGCATCTACATCTGCATAACGTGAAGAACCAGTGGCATCTACATCTGTAGAACGTGCAGAACCAGTGGTATCTACATCTGCAGAACGTGAAGAACCAGTGGCATCTACATCTGCAGAACGTCAAGAACCAGTGGCATCTACATCTACAGAACGTGAAGAACCAGTGGCATCTACATCTGCAGAACGTAAAGAACCAGTGGCATCTACATTGGTAGAACGTGAAGAACCAGTGGCATCTACAGGACATTCTACAACTTTTAAAGCCATCCCCCATGTTTAGTGTACACGCCGTGCAACACGTTTGGAATCGACAGGAGTAAATTTGGACTTACGAACAAATCGACTTACGCACAGACCTCTGGAACCTAACTCGTTCGTAAGTAACAACAAGATGCTGCTTGATAATTTTGGTCTGGAAAGCCGAGAGGCTGATGGACTAATAATATACACTACATGCTATATTACAACTTGGTTTTAATCCCAATGCAGATATGATATTTCTTAAGCAGCTGCTCTTTAGATAAAGCCAGTTGCTGACAGTTCCAGTAGAAAACCTGCTTCTCTTGCAAAGGAAACTTTCCTGGTCTCTTGCTCAAAACCCTGAAGAGGTTGGTTCTGATGCTTCACATTTAACGTGAAGCCACGGTGGCGAGATGTCAACTACCTCGCCTGGTATACAGGAGGTCGTGGGTTCGACCCCGACCCTGACGCCTGCTACTGTATATGTGGAGTTTGCGGTGTCTCTGCCCGTGGTCGCGTGGATTTTTCTTCGGGTCTTCCCGGTTTTCCCTCCACATTTATAATCAACAAGACGCGTTCTAGAGTAGCAGGTTGCTGCGATAAATGTCCACGTGATAAACCACTTCGCAGAGCTATCATTGTAGGTACAGTATGTTAAACTTTTTTCGCACCGTACGTAGCCAACCGTGCTTAATTGGAGGTGCATTTGAGGCGAGGTCGCTTCTAAAAAGGAGCTATATAGATAGCTCAGTGGGCCTTACCTGATAAAATAAAATGTTTAGTTTTGTAGTTTATAGAGTGTGAACCTCATTAGGATCGTGCTGTGGGAGGTTGGTAGGGGTCCCCTGTGTTGGAACCAAGGGTCACGTGAACCCATTTCACACAAGACATCATCAGCCATGATCTACCCACTGCTGGTTTGAATACTCTTCCAATGCTATGGGGGGGGGGGGGGGTAGAGACAAGTCTGACAATCTGTAGCTGAGCGACTGCTCATACACAGGCGGTGCGACCAGAGCCAGGGGCATTAGCCGGCGGAGATGCCGGTGGGGATTCGTTTATTTTAGCTCAGCCACCGGTCTCCCCTGAGCCGCTTAACCTGCCGAATTGCCAACTCACGCCCGCCGTTGCCATAGCTGCAGGTGGCATAGTTATACAATTGCCTAGCGTTGACCCCCAAACCCCCTCTTGTGCCCGTACGGTCAAATATCCTCCTTGCTCTCGAGAGGGGAAGCTGGGTTGAGGACATTTATTCCTTGGGTGTGCGCTGAGTCGGCACCGCTGAGGTCCTGTATTTGAATCCGGGTTTCAGCGCCCGCGATTAAACGTGGTTCTCAAGTGTAGTGAGTTGATGGTCCGGAGTTGCACTGGAAACTTTGCGTCAGATCTTCCTTGAAAATAATACACTGCTGGCCTCTGTGGGCTTGAAGATTGGAATTGAAATGATTGAATTAAGTGGGTCTTAAATACGAACGTGGACATCAGTGCTGTTGGGTTTGTGCGTGGGAGCGGGGCACACGTGGGCATCAGGGGGTGCGTGGGAGCGAGGCACACGTGGGCATCAGGGGTGCGTGGGAGCGAGGCACAGGTGGGCATCACGGGTGCGTGGGAGCGAGGCACAGGTGGGCATCAGGGGTGCGTGGGAGCGTGGCACACGTGGGCATCAGGGGGTGCGTGGGAGCGAGGCACACGTGGGCATCACGGGTGCGTGGGAGCGGGGCACACGTGGGCATCAGGGATGCATGGGAGCGAGGCACACGTGGGCATCAGGGGTGCGTGGGAGCGAGGCACACGTGGGCATCAGGGATGCGTGGGAGCGAGGCACACGTGGGCATCACGGGTGCGTGGGAGCGAGGCACACGTGGGCATCAGGGGGTGCGTGCGTCCTGCTCGTGCCGACACACCCCCTGCGCGGTCTCCGTGTGGTTCGACAGGGAGCTGCGGGAGCGCTACAGCGTGACGGCGCTGCCGCGTCTTGTCGTCGTGCGGGAGAACGGGGCCGTGATCACGGCCAGGGGCCGGACGCAAGTCCGCGACTGGGGCCCCAGGGCCTTCCAAGCCTGGCTGAACGCTTCTGAGGTCTTCCACAACTTCCCCGAGTCCTGAGCCTGAGACAAACGCCCACTCCCCGCGCGCGCGCGCGCTCGTTCGCCACGACCCAAGCCAGCCACGCCACGTTGTCCTCACTCAGCCTCCCGGCTCATCTGCGCCTCGGTCAACTCCACCGTGCACCCTCGTACGTTTAACCCACGACTACATGTCACGGGCCACCGGCTGATTATCTTGTCGTGATACTTCCATCGATTACTGGAGCGAATCACGCGGCTTACCACTGCGCCACCGCTCCCCACTTACTCACACGGTGCGCTAACCACTGCGCCACCGCTCCCCACTCACTCACACGGTGCGCTAACCACTGGGGCACTGCTCCCCACTCACTCACACGGTGCGCTAACCACTGGGGCACCGCTCCCCACTCACTCACACGGTGCGCTAACCACTGGGGCACCGCTCCCCACTCACTCACACGGTGCGCTAACCACTGCGCCACCGCTCCCCACTCACTCACACGGTGCGCTAACCACTACGCCACCGCTCCCCACTCACTCACACGGTGCGCTAACCACTGTGGCACCGCTCCCCACTCATTCACACGGTGCGCTAACCACCGCGCCACCGCTCCCCACTCACTCACACGGTGCGGTAACAACTCCACCACCGCTCCCCACTCACTCACACAGTGTGCTAACAACTCCACCACCGCTCCCCACTCACTCACACAGTGTGCTAACAACTCCACCACCGCTCCCGACTCACTCACACAGTGTGCTAACCACCGCGCCACCGCTCCCCACTCACTCACACAGTGTGCTAACAACTCCACCACCGCTCCCCACTCGCTCACAAAGTGCGCTAACCACTGCGCCACCGCTCTGCCGCAATGGACGAGTCACACTGCCCAATTTACAGATGAACACCTAAACATGCTTCCCCGAAAAAAAGTTTCAATCAGCCTCAAGACTTTTTTTTTATCAACAGAACCCTGCATTGGGATGCTTTGCCAATTCCATAAAATGGCAGTTGTGGAATTTCCGTCAACTTCATTTACTCCCATTGTAGGTATGTCGAACTTCTTTCGCACCGTACGTAGCCAACCGGCGATGTTCTATGGACCTCCGTGAAGTCTATCGAGGTGACAGGGAAACCCTCTCGTGGCGATTGCATTCCAAGAGATTCCCATGCGTCAAGCCATCATCGCGCCGGTCACGCGAGCCCCCATTCACCCCGTCTTCCGTGAGTTCTACTGTGACCCAATGTCAACAACAAACAAATCTCCGCGCAGGGAAACGCAATGTCATCAACGCTGCGTCGATGTGTTGCGCGCGCGCGCGTGAATCCGGCTAGCAGTGGCGGTCAGGACGTCCCTTTGCGTTCCAGGGTGTCCCGGCGGAGATGTGAGTCGTGCATTTAAGTCACAATATATCTTGGCCACCTTGTAGATTGATTGACTTTCAAGTATTGAAGCGGATATACACAGGCACGGCTATCCTGCAGCACCATTCGCTTTTGTCCCCTCGGAGCTCGCCACCCGCTCCCCGTGTCCGTGGCCACGGCTGCCGCACAGCCACTGACTCCTCGCCCTCGGCCCGGCCCGAACTCGCTCCCGTGTGTGTGTGTGTTGAACTTCGTTAGCACCGTACGTAGCCAACAGCGCTAATCGGTTGTGAGTGATCACTAATCACGACGCAATCTGGCAGTGACCGCCAGCGATGCAGCCGTTTTCATCTCGTTCGCGCGCTGCTATCGGAGGGCACGACAACACAAAGCAAGGACTGTGTCCGCGACAGATAGTTCGCATCGGCCGCGTTTCTCTGTTGCGCAACGCGTTTGTGATGGAACCATTTGTTTGTATAGCTCGCTGCTCCCACCCTGTGTTTCCACGCACACAGAAGCCCTGCGGTGGCTTCGCTGCGACGCCACGCCGCCGGGGAGTTGCCAGGCCCCACTGCATCTCCACACTGACGCCACGAGTCGTCCCCCCCCCTCCCCCTGGGTGTTGGGAGCGAGGAGGATCAGGAGTGGGCTCGCCATCGAACAAAGGCGGTGGACACCGCATTGCGCGGCGCTTTCAGATGCGCTTCTACGGCCGTCTGGAACGCTCTTCCTTTCGATATTAGGAAGCCACTGGGTCTATGCACTTTTAAATCTCATTTATTTGAAAACGTATTTCTTTAGAACAGTTTTTTTGTCGATTGTTTTTCCGCACACCTCCGATTAGCACTGTTGCCTACGTACGGTACGAAAGAAGTTAAACAACCCTTGCCACCCCCCATCCCCCCCGGTCCCCCAATTCGAAGCGGAGCTGGAGCCGGGGACTGCCGGGACACTTTCACGTCTCGACGAGGCGCGCGTCGCCAACGCCGCGGCAGAAGACGCGGCGGGTCAGCGGGACGAGACTCGCGCGCGGCACCACGTGGACGTGCGGGCTTGTGGCTGCGGAGGAATACGCGAGGCTCGGCTATTGTTGTTGGCTATTGTTGTTGGCTATTGTTGTTGGCTATTGTTGTTGGCTATTGTTGTTGGCTATTGTTGTTGGCTATTGTTGTTGGCTATTGTTGTTGGCTATTGTTGTTGGCTATTGTTGTTGGCTATTGTTGTTGGCTATTGTTGTTTCCGCAATGTCCGCTCGGGGAAATTGTTTCGCAACGATGCTCGCGCTACGCGAAGGAGGTTAAAGTCTTTGTTGGTACCCCAGACAACATCGTCACTTGGCGTTGTTGTGAAAATGGTGACAAGATGACCAAGTGGACCTTTCGTCCGCTTACCATCAATTTTTCCCACTTAACAAAAACTATATACATCCCATCATCCACACGACCCTTTGGGAGTGCATACTTTCAGCGGAATGTGCTCAAACGCAAGCAGACTGGACCGGATTCGACATCCAGTGTCTCATCAGCAGCAGAGCCAGGCTTGCTTGAAACAATGCTGGCAAAATGTCAAATGTTTATAGCCAAGAGATTCCCCCCCCCCCCTTCCCGTTTATAAATGGACGCTAGCTTTGACGCAAATATTCGACAATACCCAACACAAATAATTATTTAGACTCAAACTTGTTTTGAAGCTTTCGTTTCGATTGCAACACAAGCAACCGCCATCAGGTCGAGAGAGAAATAGGCCGTTTGAGAAAACAAACTTAGAAAAAAAAATTGGAAATGTAATGCAATGCAACACAGAGAGTCGGCTAACACACAGTTAACGCAGAGCCCAGTTGAGTATCATGCCTCAGGGTAACCCTGGCTGGCTGACGCTCCTTCTCGCTCCCTCACTGGGAGCAGGCACCCGCACACTGTTCGCGATGCCTCCACGCTAACCCGGGCTCACCCAAACCCCGCTAGAGTTGATAGGGCAGCCCGCAACCCGGGCAGCCCGCAACCCGGGCAGCCCGCAATGACAACATCACCGGCCGTGACCTCGCAAGTCCCCGGCACCACACAGTGACAGGTGCAGTCACTACACATTTATATTTACGCGATCTAACCCCCCAAAAAACACTCTACATGGACATTATTGGTCGCGAAAGCCTGCTGCCACGTGTTGAACTGAGCCGTGCTTTAGTCGGCAGGTGAAATTCGCGGACGCATTCCGTGGTGGCTCAGAGTTCAGAGCGCGGAGCCATCACCGCTGCGGTCTTGGGAGGTTGAATCTGGATTGAAGCCGCTGCCTACCGTTAAACGGGGTTCTCACGTGTAGCGAGCTGGTGGCCTTAGCTCGGATTCTAATGACTCCACATCAAAAAGACCGCATTCAATGCTGATCTGCGCTGACCTCAGCTACATTCCAGCTCTGATTTGTGTCGGAGTGGGTGGGAAAGTTCCGCCCACCTCCCGACTTAATGTGTCACTTCAAGGAGATTTCAGAGGTTGTTGCTCTGAGATCCACTTCCAGAAACCTTCAGAGACCCGAGTGGATATTTCATAACCGTGAGCAGACACCCAGTAGCCTAATCCGGACGTGACTTGGAGGGGGGGAGGACGTTTTTGTTTGAAAATTCTTGGGCATGTTCCACTTTCTACTCAGTCCACCATTCGGAATGCCGGTGGAGTGGTAAGAGCCTGCTCATGGGATCGCCTGTGGCGTGGGGAGGCGTCAGTGTTCCGTCCCTTCACTGGCGAGATGTTAACTACCTCGCCTGGTGTGCAGGAGGTCGGTCCGGGAGTTCGATCCCGACCCCTGACGCCTGCTGCTCTAAATTTGGAGTTTGCGTTCAGATTATTTAGCCGCTGTACATTTCCACATAAGCCAGTTCGTTGAGATATCATTCATGGCCAGGTCGCTTCTGAAAAATAAACTAATAGTTCAGTGGGCTTGACCTGTTAAAATAAGAAAATAGCTTAGTTTTGTGTGTGTATATAGTGATTTGCTTAACTTTCCTATAATTTGCACTCCGCGTTTCTGCACTGTTTGTTGTTGTAATGTTCTGACTCCGTCGGAGACATCTGTGGCAAAAAGAGCTTCATAGCTCATCGGATTCCTCCTCGGGTGTAAATAAACATTCTGAATCTGATTCTGTTCACGTGAATATTTCGGCCGTAGCGCAGCTTGGCGTCTCAACCCCTGGGAATTGCCGCTGCAGCACAGCCGCCGCTGTGGTGAGAACCAACGGTCACATTCATTGTGTTACTCATTTAGATATTTACATACGTTCCTCTTCATTGTTTAGTTTTGTGCAGTCTGCATTACGTGCTCGTGTTCGCACAATATACTGTGCGTGATGTTCTTGGCTTGCGGGTATTTTGCAGGTCTACACAGGGGCTTCATGCAGTGCTGGATGAAGCTAGTGCAGGGCCTGTAGCATGATGTTATAAATATTAAAAAAACACACATTTTTAACTTGCATAGTAAAGTAATTGTATTTTTTCAGTTGCTATACAGCCGGATAATACGAGAAATCGCTAACCTTAAACAGCTGGTCGTTCATAAAGTTGAAGGCGGTATAGTACTATAGTAATAGAGCAAGTGCAGACTCACTGGACCGGAATTGATCGCTTGAAAGCATTTAGCGCGGGACCCTTGAAAATGCGGGGCCCGTAGCTGCATTTGTAGCTACTACTACATATGTAGCTACTACTACATATGTAGCTACTACTACATATGTTGCTACTACTACATATGTAGCTACTACTACATATGTAGCTACTACTACATATGTAGCTACTACTACATTTGTAGCTACTACTACATTTGTAGCTACTACTACATATGTTGCTAATACTACATTTGTAGTAGCTACTGCACGTGTAGTAGCTACTGCACGTGTAGTAGCTACTGCACGTGTAGTAGCTACACATGTAGTAGTAGCTACATATGTAGTAGTAGCTACTACACATGTAGCTACTAC